AGGAATTATTTGTGACGTAAGACTTCTGAAGCAAAACAGAACAGTTTGCAGTTGAATGAAACTGCACCATTGTTTCGACTATTCGCGTTTTTCTTTTCATCGAAAATGACCGATATCGAGAATTTGATATAGTTAAATAAAAAGAAGAGTGTTTGTATTTATGGTCAAGTATATAATTAGAATAAGAAAGAGAGCGCCTATACACGCGTCACCCGTTTTTCTATTCACAAGTTGAAAAAGGTCGTTTGTGACATATTTGCATTCATTCAATGCTTGAATGATTCGATTTATAGGAGTAAAGAAGTTGATTATAAATGTTTAGCTTTCCTCTTGAACATCAGGATATCTATTGCATTTCTTTTCCTTTTTTTTTGCTCAAGCAGAATATGAGAAAGCATCCATTCGTCTCCAGAGAGAAAAAAATGCGATACTAATGATAAGAACGAGAAGCGTCGTCTCTTTCTCTCATTCTCTCTTTATAGAAAAGGCATGTTAGTTGCTCATCTACATGACTGTACAAACGAAAAAAAAAGCATCGACATACGTATTGTTCTTTCTTTCTCTCTCTCTTTCTCGTTCTCTTCTTCTGTTTGCCTTTTAGAAATTAATGTTAACCTTGTGCAATGCTCAACGGTAGTAAGTGAAGAGGATTTGCTCAGATCAATCCTATTGGTAAAAACCTTGAACTTTTGATTCAAGAGAGATTTCTAATCCATTGTCGATGTATTTACTTCTGTTCAGTGTTTATTTTCCACTCTAGTAGTCCTTTCCTTTCTCGATATACAAATATTTGTTCGCTATGTTCTCTCTTACCCTCTTTACACCAATGTAAAATGATATCAGTTGATGAGTGTGTGTGTTTGTGTGTTGTGCTTGTTTTATTTCATTATCAATAGAAATAGTTATATTGTTTTCTTTAGCTTTCGTTCGAACGGAAATGATCGACATCGGTCAAACCTACGGGAGTGAGAATTTCAGCATCAGGTAGAGAGAATTTTCATTAGGAACAATGTTTCTTTCGGGAACATCCGTTGCGATTCACTCTGAAGTTAACATTCTCTCGAGAAACATCTCTTCTGTTGTTTCCTAATTTGATTTCAGAATGAATTTGATGTTTTTTTGAAGCTAGATAAAGAATTGTTGAAGGTATAAGATACAATCAGATTCATCATCTTCTGCATGAATAAAAGCGTCTAATGTGATTATTGCTTCTCTGTCTATACTGATAGATTTATCATCTTCATATAGTTAGTCATTTATCTGCATGACTCGACTTAAAAACTATACTTGTAGATGAATGAATGTTATTATTGTCTACTATTTGTAAGTTTACTCAGTAGTTTCCAACATTGTTATTCGCATCAAGGCTCACTTTCCATCGATTTGCCCAATGTAACTATTCAACACGTGTGTGAAAATGATTTACTTTTTATTAAATGTTTAAATATAAATGAAACAATTCAAATCGTACGGTCCATGTATGGACGAACATCACAAAGAATATGTAATCATGATTTAACAGGTCGGACATTCGAGAAAACATGTGCAAATATTGAACAATCGAAGTATCAAACAAAGCTTCGGTAGGAAAAATGACTTTTTACCTGTTCTTGTCATTTTAATGATGCTGTTTAGTTGTCAGGACAAATCGACATGTCAAATGTTAATTGATAATCAAATCTTCACAGATCCGTGCGGGCCAACCATCCCGAAACACTTCGAAGTTCACTATCGATGCATCAACAAAGGTAAGTGTAATGAAAAGACGGAATTTCTAATAGAATTTTCTTGTTGTCTAGAGCAAATCTGTTCAAGATTGTTCGCGAATTGTTCCAGATCGAGAGATATCAGATGTATTCAAAGAATTGAAGAAGACTTCTCTTGTTCATGCCCATCAAACATATGTCGATACCGTAGATAGTTTAATCCGAGTGAAAAAGTCAATGCTGAATCAATTGTGTTTAGATAATCAACAGATAATTGGCTTCGTCGAAAATGTTTGTTTAGAAGAACATCTTCAAGGATTTCATTGGGTTAAAACACCGATTAACACCAGTCAATCTCGTTCATGTCCTTCTCCTTGTCATGGTATAATCAATGAACAATTGAATGTGAACGTTGAATGCATTCATTTGTTTCTTCAGGAAAAATTTCACGTTTTTGTCAATCAAATCATCAGTGGTCAAAAGCAAATTACACTAATTGTGAATGTCCGATAAAGCAATCCGATCAAGTAATGTTTATTTTAGATCGAGATTTTTCTTCATTGTTTCTTATGATTAGTTATCAACACATCGTCAGGCCAATGGCTATGTCTTTCAATGTAATTTTTGGCTAATCAATCGACTATTGCCTAAGGAGAATTTATGCATTCTTGTCTGTAGTGTCCTTTAGTCATTAACTATTGAATTTAGTTTTCACTTTTCTGTCTAGTCATTTGCCAATTGGAACGAACCGACGAATGATGATGATGATGGGAATAGTCAATCATTCGATTGCCTTCTAAGTGCCTTCAAAGGAATGACATTTTCATCGTGTTTGGGAACGAGTTCCTTTGGAATTGATTTTCAGAATTTCATCTTTGAAATTCACTTTCCGAAATTCAATCAAAGTCAAATTCATTTCTTAGCAAATAATTACGATCGAGAAAGTAACATTCCATTTAATCGAATTCTCCTCGACCGAACGGATATTATCAAAGAACATTCTCATGCTAATTTACCCATGATGGTTATCGATACGAAAAATCAATCAGTTATTTTAATTGAACAAGGAAATGATTTCAATTTAGTACAGACAGGCAACGTGACCGTGATGTTTCGGCGACCGGTGAGTGTCTACTCATTTGTCCTCTGAACTATGATCTTCGTCGGGACAGTGGAATGTTGATCAATATTCGAAAGATACAATCTTTTTCTACTCATCAATCATGCGTCCGACATGAAACAGATAATCTTATTGATGAAAAGACATATTTCATGCATAAAATCTTCGCATTTACCTTGAAATCTTCCTTCTCGTTTTAGCCATCAGATTCCTATTATTATCAATGTCGCGCTTATCGTTCGACGAATTTCTCATTCGAATTCGAGTAAAAACAAAGAAACAAACTTGCCCATCATCCTCTAATCATATATTTTGTTTGATCTAGTTCGACAAATATGTTTTTTGCATGTCAATCAATGTGTTCGAACGCTAGTCATGTTATATGTCAATGTCCATTTTTCAATCCATTCATGCATTATCACTTGCACATCGATGTAAAAAAAAGAACGAGCGAGAAGAATTGATTAATTGATGAATTTCTCTCGTTCGTGTGTTCTAGAAGTCAAGAGCAAGAAATGATTTCAATGACGAGTGTTTAGACGAGATCAATCAGTCGATTGATGAGAGTTTAAATAGAATCGATCGATATCTGAAGAATATCTCATCAATCCAATCTGCTAAAGTTTGTTCGATCAATCAGTTCAGGAATGTTACTTTACTCTTTTGTTCTTCTAGAAACTTCTTGCATTTATTGATAAACTAGTTGAGCGAGAATATAATTGGAATGTGACTTATCGAATGATTAAACAAATGGAATATCTCGGCTTGAAAATACTTCGCTTATCGAAATCATTCACTTCGATACATTCTCATATTGGTAAGCAACAAGCATTTGTTCTCTGATTAGATATCACGTGTTGATTCGTAGAATTCTCTATTGAATCGAAAAAGATTCGATTTCAAAATTCGGATCAGTCCGTGTCGATCTCATTTCCCAGCGAGAAAATTCTCGATGCCAAGTTTCAGTTGATATTCTTCACCATTCAAACAAATACATTAAATAGTCAATTGGTGACTGTTTATTCTTCACCGAAAGGTCAAGTGAATGAAGATATTCAAATCGAATTTCGTCATTTGAATGCATCTGATCGAATTCCAACTTGTGCCTATTTGAAAACTTTCGAAAAGTAAACAAATCTCAATGCTTTCTCTTTGCATCCCATTCATTCCCTCCTTGCAGTGTTGTGCAATGGGCTACTGATGGTTGTCAATTAGTATCAACAAATTCAACCCATTCGATATGTTTATGTAATCATCTGAGCACGTTCGCACTATTAACAAACTTTGAAAAGGTTTGTTGACAAAATTCTTCGAGTTTTTCTTCTTCTATCACCTCTCGTTGCAGCCGATAAGCAAATGGACGAGAAATCAGACGCTGTCGATATCGAAACTTGGCTGTGTAATATCCATTTTATGTCTTCTACTCACAATTATTCTACTGATTATCATACGGTAAGAATTTTCCCGGGGAAATGAATTACGCAATCGAATTGATGAAGCGGATTCTAATGACACTTCATAAATGAGCTTTTGATAAGTTTATACATCTTGACCTTGGATGTGTTTTACAAAATATTACTTATCTAGATCCCGTACGAATGTTGATGATGATTTGACAACTGTTCGAAGTATTCTTCATACAAATATGTTGTTGTGTTTAATTATTGTCCAAATATTATTCCTGTTTGGTATTGATCAAACGAAATATAAAGTAAATGGAGTTCGAATGAGTCGGAAAGAGGTTTACTTGCTTGATTTTAGTTCGGATGTCGAATTATATCGATTCTATTGGATTATTTCCTCCTTGCGAGTATCTCCTGGATGTTCGTCGATGGCATCGAATTGTTAATCGCTCTAAAACATGTATTTAAAATCGATCGTATACGTTTAATTGCTTATTCTTTATATTCATATGGATTTCCGTTATTAATCGTGTTTCTTTCCATATCATTGTCAGCAAAAATCGATAACGAGTCGAATCAATAGTACGTCGTATATTAAAAAGATCGTTCACTTATCTTTGTCTTACGAACTCTTTTAGTTGTTGGTTATCACATGATAATTCATTTATTTGGGCATTCGCAATACCGTTTATCCTTTTAATACTTGTAAGTAACCAGCAGTTCGATGGATTTCGAAGTATTCGGGCTGATTTTCCTAGGCGAACCTTTGTTTTCTGATGATATCAATCTACTCGATATGTAGCAAATTGAAACCATCGGAATACATTAGTCAAATCAGGTTTGTCAATACAGATCTCATGTTGGAATCTGAATGAAATGTCTAAATTTTAGAAGTTCATTGCGTGATATGTCGATCATATCGATTCTATTTGGTTTAACGTGGATAATTGCATTAGTTTATCTCTATAGTCAAACAATATCATTTGCATATATCTTTACTCTATTGAATTCTGTTCATGGACTATCGATATTCATCTTTTATGGTTTGATACAAAAACATATTCGAAATTCTTTCGGCAAGTTTTGCTGTCGGAACAAAGCTCATTCCTCGGTAATCATTCAATGTTCATTTCTTTTGAAAGATAATGATTGCTTTTTACTTTAGTGGCTTCGCTGTTTTATGAAATCAAATGAAAATTCAAATCACCTGCGTAAGAGTCAAAGAATTCACTTTGCGTAAGATTTATTCAAATAACTGACCTTTTTCTAGATACAAAATCACTTGAACATTTTTCGCTACCAGACAATACAAGTAGCAGCGGTTACAGTTCAGCACACTCATCCGACCTTAACAATAAGCAGCTTTTATGCAATCAAACTTTAGATTATTCGACTCATTTATCTCGGCCGATATCTTTTCATAATCAATACAACAGACGATCATGTTTAGTTCATGAAACTTCTTATTTACCGAGTATACCGAATAACTTATTACCGAATCGCTTGAGTACGTTTCGATATCAACTACCAGCAAATGAGACTCGTATCTCTCACGAACAGAATGAACAATTGCTTCAAAAAACTCAAATTCATGATGAAGATCATCAGTATTATGAGATTGGTTAACTATTTCATTTGCATATGGGCGTGTACTTGCTTTTTGTATCTTTTTACATTCCGGTGTTGTATAAACAAGAAACTAAAGTAAAAAATAGATCATTTGAGATTCTTTTTCACATTTATTTCATTTTGAATAATATACAATAAACAGAATTATCCTGAATTTCTTGGAAACAACTCATCGGATTGTAGAAGGGGTTCCAGTTTTCCGATGTATACTCAAAGTCGACGTAGACAATGAGTAGGAGCGTGTTCGACACGCAAAGAAAAGATTCGAATAAAAACCCATATGTCGCCGGAACACCGAAGATGAAAGTGCGTATATGAAAGGATTTATACAGGCTGATAGTTTTGTCAATAAAGTAATTGATGATGCTAAATAGACATTCACCAAATGATCCAAACCAAATTGAGCTGCAACAGCCATGAAGGCATAAGGAGTCCAGGACATTACATAGATACCACAAACGACTAGTGCAGTGCGAGTAACTCGGATTTCAGTACGACGTATGTCTCGTTTTGCTTGATTACTTTCATTAAAAGTGAAAACGACTTTTCCTTCATTGGAAAAAAGTTCATTGTGAGCTGAGTTAATTGGAACAAAAAAATGCAATCTGCCTAGTTTTGGTTTCCTGCGAAATCCCGTACATGAATAATTTTCATATATGAGATGACGACCACGATTCGTTAATTTTACCAGAATGAACGAATACGATACAATAATGATTGTCAATGGAAGCAAAAATCCAACAACTATTAATATCAACATAAACGATCGATTCCACACATCTTTCGACACATAATCAAATGTACAACTCGTGCCAATCCCTTCAAACACGAACCGACTCCATCCAAAGAAAGGCGGGACCATCAAAATCAAACCATACAGCCAGCAACATGCAATACATTCTATTAATATCAAACACGAACATCGTGAGATTCAGTGCGAATTAAAAATACATACTTAATGTGACATTTGTAGTTAATTTCAATGAACTGAACGGTCGGATGACAGCGACGAGTCGAGTGAGAGCAATTGCTGCCATTGTTGCAATCGATGTGAAAGCGCAAAGACCACCGGAGAATGCATAGAGGTCACAACCTAGGAATCGATTCATAACATGCTAGGAAGTTCACTTCGATGTTTGAATCTACGATTGTCTGATTCAACAGAACATATTATCAACTATCGTCAGAAAAGTCTCGCTCTTAAGAGGGGGTGCGTTTGTCTCAGAGCCAAATATCTAACTCGAGAAATATCATCTCTTTGAGCGGTGCTGAATGAAATGTTGTGTAGATCAAATCAAAATCAATTTACTAGGCCACAAAGCGAAAATAGGGCAACTGAAGACTGCGCTCTAAGTAGAAGCTACTAGTGCATCGATAATTTGACATTTATTTCAAAGGGAATAATTACCTATTTTTCCGAACGGCCATTGCTTATTAAATGATGCAACTGTATGCAACACATTACTTGTCAGGAGTAATCCAAGGTCGGTAACTGCAAGATTAATAAGAAATAAATTCCTCGGTTGTCGTAGACTAGAATTTCTATTCACACAAAAAACATGCGCTTAGTTTCATACTAAAAAAGCAAATAATGAATATGTTTTACCTAATGAATACGTAGAGAACTAAACCATTTGATAACGATCCACACAGTAAGCATAGAAGAGAAAATAGGCCTGTTCCATAATACCATATATCTGATACTGATGCGTTCGTATTCAAAGATGCCAGTGGATTATCATACGATACCATTGTTTTGCTGGTTAACTTGTACCTTTTGTACTCTACCACTCTGAGAAAAGACAGAATGAAGTTTTCCTGTTCTCTTTTATAAGACACGAATAATAACAAAGCAATCAAACAAAATAAAATGTCTGCATGTTATCAAACAAGACACTCGTCTCAACTCATCTTTAGACAAATTGACGTATTTATGCATGGTTTCACAGAAAAATGAATGCTTCTAAGTGAAGTCGCTCACAGAAAATACATTCAAATGCGGGAAAAAATGCTGCCTTCGTGTGAAGAAGACAAAATTATCAACGAAAAATGTCTGTGTGTTGTCACAATTGTTCACACTGTGATCTGGCTGAGAGCGAAAGATTATATTGGAATGACGTTATCGCATTGTCTATTACTAAACTTGACAGCGTTACTGTGCATAGGGAAATAGGCTTAGGTCTATACTCATTAGCAACAGACAGCTGATCTAATATGACGCTACGCATCTTTTTGAGAGGAAAGGAACATTGGACTCGATAGTTTGAATTTTTTCTCATTGTAAATTGTTGTTGAAGGAAAAGTAATTAGATCTATCTGTGAAAAACACTTAGACTCTGTATGTTCTATACATCGTCGCTATAAATTGACACGAGGAAAATAGTAATGAACTCAGATGAACTATGAACTCTTCTTCAAACTGATGCATAAAAATAGGAAATTGTATTCTTCTCTCGATCATAATCTACGATATAATGCAGAGAATCGTAACGTCAGATTTTCTAAAGATTCAATTAGGATTTGTCTTATAAAATTTATTTACTGTGTTATATTACGAATTAATTACAGAACTGTAGTCGTGTAATTTATTTTTAATATTAGAATAGAAATCTTTGGCGGTGTAGATGCTTTTAATGTTCCGGAATTTGCTAAAAAAAAGTACCTTGAAACATTTTAATATATAAGCTCGCAAAGAACTCCGTAGGCTATTCAAGTACATAGTTGCTCTTATTACAGTGTCAACCTATAGTGAGAATAAATTAAAAATACAACGTGTAACTAGCTTCTTCCCAAAAGAATAAACGCTTTTCTACGGACTGCAGAGGCTTGAATGGATATACCGGGAGTACACTGACAGTTTTACTAGATCATATGTTTTACTGACATCCTAATCATATTTTACATACAAATCTACGCACTGAAAAATGACAATATATGATATGTTGGGTTTCCTACGTAAGCATGTTGTGACCTATATAATTATGAATTGACATCCAAGTTGTGCTGATAGAGTGTATGCAATACACGTACCAGCTTCGGATATCGAGAACACGAGACTTGTTCATCATGAGATATCTGATGTAAACAGTTCTTCTTTGGAAAACGAACAACAGATACAGAAATTACTATACCATTCACAAAAATAGTTAAACACACTCACAATTCATTACCTTGTCAGAATTTTCTGGAATATTATTTCTCACTAAAGATTCATGTTTTTCTTCTCTCTATTTATCACATTATGATTCAAGCAGTTAACACACTTGCATTCCACATTGTCTTAAGTATGGAAATGCACTTTTGTTTAGCACTCAACCTCAAATTAAATCTATGTAAAAACACTTGTCTATCACGATAGCTCTGTAATACGACACGACGAAACACTCATTCGAAGAAATGTAGTTCTACAATCTTCTCAAATTACATCAATATCATTCAATACAAGACATGACACATTCTTCTAATCCATCTTCACTAGAGTACTAGATGATTTTGCTGACGCGATGCATCTTTCACGAAATTTGTTGTGGTACATAAAGAAAGTTTATTCATGACAAACGAAGATATTCAATAGTAGAAAAAATACTGTAAAAACAAAGAGAACAACAATAAAAAGATTTCGACCAAAGTTTCGCTTGTTACAATCGACTTCGATACTTCGAATTCGTCAGCTAATCGTTTCTTATTCACTTGTCTCAATTGATGATCAAGAGAAGATCAGATGACAAGCCTGTAATATGTTATCACTTTCAACTTGCATCGTCATAAGTAACTCTGATCATCAATCAGGTGATGTACAAGAAAGATTATTTCAAATTGAAACATCGAAGACACAAAGTAAGAAATGAAACTTAGGGGTTTTTCTTTGCAGGACTAGAAATTAATAAGGACCAGCAGTATTCAAGTTCGAATTAGTTGCAAATGTTTGTAACATTTGAATGAATTCGTTGGCTGATGGTAAGCGACCTGTTTGAAGTTTGGACCATAGTGGAATATCATTAACATATATTTCAAATGCGCCCGTGGAAATCAGAGATGATTCAATTGAGTTTGAGAAGAAAAAGACCATCAAACACGCATACATCTTATTTTGTAATGCCCATGAATAGACTGCTGGTGTAGGAATATTTAGAAGTGCAAAAGGATTTTGACCGAAAAGAAGACAAACGAGTAAAGCCATTTTCACCATAGACAATACACGAGCAATCAATGCTTTGGTTGGAGGTGGTGGGTAGTTTTCGCCCTCAACTTCCATGCCAGGATAATGTGTTCGAACAAGTTGTGCAAACTGTTCAAACACATTACGGTACCTACAACAAGATGAAAGAGATTTCCAATTGAGAATCTGAGAAGTTCGAATGTATAGTTACCCTCAGCTATGGCAAAAGAGAAACTTAATGGTTGGTACACCATGGTTCTTTATTTTAGGTGCTGGAATATTTGAAGATTGTTCGTATGCTGCATCGGAATGACTATCGAAAGATGATGAAGTAGGTTCAGTTGGTTTCGATTCCCTCGTAGATGGAGTCAAATATATCTGTGTGAGATCGTAGCATGTCGACAGAAGAACAAGACCAAGACCGAACAGAATCTTTCGGTCCAGCATGTTCAAAATTGATTCTAATATGCAAATAAACAACTCACACAGCAGAAGTAGAAATAAATATTTGAGATGTGGACCAATGAGCAACTGATGAGATTATATCAGATCGGGATGGTAACATCTGACATCTGTAGGAATTGCGAGCATGTTCTGCTAAAGATGCGCATAGTTAACTTTTTGTTATTAGCAACGTGCTTGAATGGAAGCCCGACAAAATATTTTAGCTTTTCAACTAATTAACTTTTGAATGACACATTCTTCTGTCACGGAAATGAAGAACTACTTCCGAAAATTAACTATTCAGGAACATGCGTTGAAGAGTTTTCGTTTTGTGGAATTATTCTTAGTTCATCCATAGTATTCTATTTCGTGTTTTCTTTGTCTAAAACATATTGACAGAATCTTGGATTTCATTCTTTCTCTCCGTTGTTCTTTTTTCAATTTCACTGATTACACAATGTCAAAAAGTTACTTTTCTTCGTGAAAGAAGAACGAACGATATACTAGAGAAGCTGACATTCTAATTATTGTTGAAAAATTCTTCATTTCTTCTTCTTTTGTCAATTATTTCTAAAGCTTCGAATCTCTTCAATTTTTAGTAGAAAAGACAGAGCAAAGGTGTAAACTTTTCCATTATCGACGCGTGATTCAAAGTCGAAACAACGGTAACTAGAACAAAAAAAAACGTCCAATACAACAATCCATGCTAATTTATTCATTCATCATTGACGAAACCATTCAACTTTCGACAGTAGTGGATCGTTGATCATTTCTTGCTCTCGTTCGAAAGTAAAACACAACCGAATGTCTGCAGATCACAAATCAACAAAGCAAATAACCATATCATTTCCGAAAGCAAATGATGTTCGTCTGAAATTACCTCCCACCAATTATTCACATCCGAAGTCACGCACAATACCTCCGCACCCTTCAGTTGCCTCACAAATACCAAAAACTTCGATCATCTACCCAACACTACTTCCACGTTCATCAACATCCTATTATTCTAACCATCAACCATGTCCTCGAGATGCCCGTTATTTATACGTTGTTAATGCATCTGGTAATTCTCATCGAACACCATCAACGCAAACGCCCAGCCCAAATTCAAATTCATTACCCCTTCCCCAACAGTTTCCTACATTGAATCCATCCACACCACCGCGTCCGTATCTCCAATATGGACATTTTCTCGCCTATCTTCGACGACAATCCTTAGCTCGTCTACGTCGTAAACAAGAACAACAGGAATTAGATGGCACAGAAAGTGTTGATACAGCAATAACACTGACTTCGAACAAAACACCATCGTATTCACTCCAATCAATGTCGAACTTATCACTTGGAACGTCAACGACAGATGCAGCATCGATGCCTGCTATACCAATAATAACATCGAAACAAAAATCCCGACCAACTACATCTCAGCGTCCGTTGCAAAGATCATCATCATTGCTAACGACAAATTATCGTTTAAATTTAAATCAAGCATTACCCTTCAGAGAAATAACATCATTGCACACCCTCAAAGAAACCAGTGTCGATAATCATTCGTTAGTATTACCATCAAAACCAATTGTTTCTGCTACACCTGCAAATTCAGTTATCAATGCAACAGACGCTTCGTCACCATCGAATAGAGCACCTTACGAAGTCCAATTAACCGGTGATACGCTTAGTTATTGTTTTGTCAGTGATAGTGGAGTTACCTATCAAGGACAACTACTTTCTTCTGCTATATGATGATAATATTGGCATAAGTTTTATTATTAATATACAACGACAAAATTCATTTGAAAAACATAGACAAGACAGACGTTTTCGAAGGCGGTCGTTTTGCTTTCGGTGTTGTTACATGAGATGTATTGTGTGTTGACACAGGCGAACCTGCTTTTGGCGTTGAGGAGTGTAATAAATTTGTGTGAGACGAATGAATCGATGACTGCAAATCGACTTTACCTTGTTTACCTAATCTCTGTACGAGATTTACTGGTAGAGGTGGCGGTAATGGGATATTGATCGATGGTAGTTTATCTGGTTCGTTTGCTGTCGTGAAATGTATCGATGAGCTTGATGATGAAGACGAGGAAGGAGAAGGAAAATTTATCGTTGAATGAATCGGAATAGTTGATCTTGCTTCTTCATTAATTGAATTCGATGCTACAACGCGCTCGCGTTCTTTCCGTACTTCTCGTACAGTTCGGTGGAAAAGCTGTCGAACACATTCATAATCTTCGGCTGCTGTTGTTTCATAAAAGGCGCAACTAAATTTGGCAGCAATAGCTTCACCTTCGCACTTCGGGATTATTCTAAATGTGCAATAGACAATGAGTCATCTTCTCCCCATCAGCAGAAACTGTTTACCTCATTCGTTCAAGATCGAGTTTAGTACCTAATAGTATCAAAACCAGTTCGTTTGATGAGATGCTTAAACTTCTCGAATAATTCGTAATTGCATCGAGATAAGCCAAAGCCATTTCGAAACTATCCTGCTGCGTGATGCTGTAAGTGATCAAAACGGCGTCAGCCCATTTTAAATAATAAGGTAAACGTTTATCATCCTTGATAGAAATCAAATTTATCGTTTTTCAGTATTTACGAAAGTCTCTCATTTACCTTTCCATATGTGTCCATAACTTTAACAAGCACTTCTTGCTGATCGACAGTATCTGGTTTCCAATATGTATCTTCTAGAACGAGAAAACATTTCATTGGCGATTCTAAAGGAAAATTGATTGATTTTACTAACCGAGAAATGGATCATATTCACAAATGAAACGTTTTGTCAAATACTTCACAACTAGTGCTGATTTGCCGACATTTTGTTTGCCGAGTAGGACAATATTCACTTCTTCCTTCGGTAAACTCACCGTCGACTGATGACTCTTAATCGAACTACTTGTAGGCTTATACCGAATCATGACGATTTACTAAGTAGAAATGATTGGACTGTTCTTTGACTTCTTTGATAGATAGATAGATATGCTCACTCACGTCAGATATCAGTGACATTATAGAAGTACAAAAGAGCGATAAAATACATGCTGACATAATCTTCTTGCTAGTGCCACTCCTTCTGACAGTGTATATCACAAAGTTAGAGAGAGAGAGATGGAGGAAGAGAAAGATGCATAATGCATCAAAGATACAAAAAAATATGTCTATGTAGATATAGGAAAAAGGCCATCATAGATAGAGGCGTACCATATTCGACTAGTGCAGATGTTTGAGATATATCGAAGGACGAAGGAAAAACTCGATCATTAAGAGAAGAAAAGAATATATGAAGACATTTCCCTCTGTTCGATGATGATGATGATGTTCCAGGAAAATATTTATTTATAAAATCATCATCTTAACATCTGCACGCTTAAACTCCTTGATCCAGGCGATGATTCATTTCAAATTTGCTCTGATTGGCGATGAGTGCCACCTTGAGAAAAATTGAACGATACATAAAAATGGATTCAAAAAGAAGACCACGTCAACATTATCTCGTTTGAGTTGTAACACCTTGTGACTTCTCGACCTAATGAATAATTATTTCTCGACGTGTGACATTCGTTCTCGGCTCAAAAAGAATTTCCTGGTAATCTTAGAATTGTTTATCAAAATGTCTATAAAAAACCAAATAGCGATGTATGATTATGTTACACATCTTGTAATCAAGACAGACAACCACCGCGTTTATCGTAGTAAAACGCGAATTGATTGGAAAGTGATACAGATTCTCATTTAGTAATATAGATCGAATAAACAAGTAAAGTTGTTTATGCCAAGTTGACTCCCATTAGAAGAGTGTTTGGATGTAGTTCTTTGAAAATGTACCAGTTAGATGAATCTTTCTTCTTCATTTGTGTTATTCAAAAATGTATCTTCAAGGAAAAGTTAATATGCAATTGTTTCTCGTTCCGCGGCTACTGCGAAGATAATTTGTATGTAAAACAGCCGGAGGAGATATACAAATCAATATCCATTGGACATTCAATCATCGTTTGTTGACCCGTCATGTACCGAAATGGATGCGGGTTTGTTAATTACATCATCATTCACGAATGTTTTTCTGAATAAACAAACTGTTCCGATCTTCTTGGGGCTGTTCTAACCATGTTAAAGTACATTTGATGCTTGAAGTTCGGATATGACTTTTCTTTTGATAAGAAAAAACATATGGTTTCTTTTCCAGCTTTTTTTTCGTCATAAATTTACTCTTTATAAATTATCTTTGCGCACGAGTACTTTGAAAATGATCTTTGTCTTTCGCAACATGTTTCATTCTCTCAGAGCAATTGATTCTTCTGAGTAAATACTTCGTTTCCGGTTGTGATGAATTTCCTAAGGTGTATTTACATTGAAAAGTAAATTTCATTTTGCAAATCAATATTTTCTCGATTTGAATTTATTATTATTCGTGGTGTTTCCAGCCTTACAAACTGATTCTTATTCTCGAGCAATCTTCATTTCAAATATGCATACAACAAAGCAAGACCCAGTTAATAATTTATTATGGCAGTGAGCATGAGAACGTTTATTTACTGATGTCGCGGGGAGAGAGAGAGAGAGAGATATTTGAAAATTTTTTTTGAGTATCCAAATAAGAACAAAAGAAAAGAAAAAAGTTGATGTCAGTGGTTTTTTTTACATTTCATATCAAGAGCGGTGAGTAGAACATGTTTGATTCAATGTTTCAAAGTACTTCTCATAAGTTTAGCGAGCAGATCAAATTACGCTTTTAATATAAGTCACTTTCAATATTAAATCGGAAATAGAAATTTGAGAGTTGACTTGATTTAAGCGTCAAAGTGTAACGACAAATTCACCCTTTTTTCGCCCATGATAACGAAAATAATCGATTTGTTTTCTTCATATATATCTTTCTAACTACTTTTTCTGATCAATTAATCAATGAATAAGTTTGTTTTTTTCTCTCGAACGATAAACGAGAGGAAATGTCTTTTTCTTTTTGTCTCTAAGACTTGTTAAATTTGATTAACAAATTTCACCTTGACTTTCTCTATGAAGACACGCGAGTCTGTCGGACTCGATATTTTATAGGATGAGAGATGCATAGTTGAGAGAAAAATGCGAGTTAGTAACATATATACATTGTGTGTCATTTTTCTCGGTGCTCCTTCGGTCATTATCGTTATTTTTATGTGAAACTCGTCAAAACGAACAGAACAAATGCCGACGTCAATGACTTGTTTTCATTAACGAATCAATATTGAAATACGTGATGTAATTCTAATAGAAGTCATTTTAAAAATACATGTGTAATTGCTCAAACAAACGAAGATTTAGTGACACGTCAGGTTTATCAAGACGAAAATCTTTATCTTAACATACGCGATTGTCTACGTCAAAGCAAGCAGTTCCGTAGAACAATGGCATGGAGTGGAGGCGGTGAAACAGGATAATATTTAACTCAGTTAAATGTCTAAGCAATTCGAAAAAGAAAATGTGTCACTATGAAAATAATCGAAAGGATTCCTCTAAGTATGCAAGAAATCTTGTTAGGATTGTCAATTAAGATGAAAATACATATAACCTTGACGATTTTATCAGACTTTGAGATTTTCGATGAAATGATATTTAAGAATCTGATATCCATGAAATGTTCTTTTTCTCGCTTTCTTTTTCTTTTGGAGTTTCTTTTATTTGCCTGATAATGTGTATCGCCTAAGTGATTTTGTTCTGCGACAGCACAATGAATACAGTACAGGTAGGCTTTTTTTTTCCTTTTCTTTCATGGCGTTGTTTTTTAACATTTTAATGACAAATCGATAATGATTTACGAACACCAATGATAAAGAATTGATTGTTATTGACTGTCTCTTCGGATAGATTATTCCGCCCGACAACCATTTGACACACAATCCTACACGCGTACAGTACCCATCTGGATCGATTCCCTTGTTTTCCTCTATATATTTTTTTTCTATTCCCCACCTACGAAATCAAACGCTACCTATCCGAATGCTATCGAAAGCAATTTATACTTGATAAATTTACATAATTGGATATTAACAAACCATTTATTCTTTTCGAGATGTTCGATTTCTAAATGTGATTGATTGATATTAATGGCTACAACAATCACGTATAATGCCCCGACCGATGACGATACAAGACCAATAATTCACACACAAGCTGAACATCACTATCTGTTAGGTCCGCCTGCAAAAATCTTCAAACCACTTCCACCAACTATCATTCAATCGATTGAGACTGAACGACGACAACAACAACGCCGTAATCAAGTATCGCGTTCAACAGTAGATATTTTCCTCAATAAGCAATCATCAATCGACACCACCGATGACGATCTCGACGAAACAAATCGTACACCCGTCAAATCGCCTCAACTTCCTCGTCATCAAAGACGTCTAAAACTAGCAGCACGTGCCAGACGTTCGCCATCGGATATTCGCGTCACACTCTATCCCGATGAAAACGTCAGTGTCCACGAAAGTCTTACTCTTAGTCAATCAGAAGTATCGAGTCCACCAGAACGTCAAAATGAGCTCCGACAATCTGATCCATCACTCACCAATGGTAAAGCAATGAAAGCAAATGCAACCGATTATATACGCCGAACTATTCTTGATCATCGTTTTAGCCGTCGAATTCATTCCTCATTTTCGTCTTCGACAACCTTACGTTCGTTAAGTCGACGTCGTTCCACAGAAAAACTTTCGCCTCGCTCGTCAACGAACGCTCCACGCAATCGTCGACATCCGCATCATTTACCGCGTAATTCCAAATGGCACATTGTTCGTCATCGTTTACACGATATCGCGATGATGAGCGATTCCTACGCACGAATGAAAGTGCTCGAGCAAGATTTACGTTGGGTGAATTTACGTGAAAAGATTCGCGCACAGGTGTTCGACATACGCGAGATGAATCTTCTACGCCAACAAGATGATGGTTTAATCGCGAAAAAGAAAACCCAAAAGACACGATTCGATTTGAAAAACATTCCTGTAAGCGAAGTCGTTCATGTTGAACGCGACGGACGAGTTTTTTCGATGAGTACTCGTGATCTTGTTCTTGGGCGTTTACTTGACGCTGAAGATATACAATTAGATACATTTGCTCAATTGGACGCTCGTCGACAATTTCAAGTACAACAACATTTATTAAAACAACAAGAGGGAAGGACTCGCTTGAAAAAACATATCGCTTTCTCATTTTGTTTGTGCAATTTATCATTTATTGTTCTTATGTTTGCTGCAATGTTCATTTTTGCTATGAAAACAATACTCGAATTGAGATCAAGTCAGTTCCGTTGATAGACTTTGACATTCCTGTCGTTATCAGTCTCTCCATTTGAATCTGGCCAAGCGACATGGATTTTTCTTCTTTCGTCTCTTTTTTTCTACTAATTCATAGATATTTTTAACAATTATCAGGTACTTCCATATGTAAATGAATCAGTTCGTTTTATTTCTGTGTATTCCGAAGAATTAAATACCTGTTTTTATCATATTTATATACATATGTACAGTAAAAAAGCGAAAAAGGTCGTAAATTGTTGAAATATCTGCACGATGCGTGTTTTTATTATACATCGGCGAAAGCAAAGAATGTTACGAGGAGAACTAATCGATGATACTGAATGAAGTAATGGAAATTAGTAAATATCGACTCGAACTGACAAGTATTCGATGTAACTTTGATGTTTTAATCGATGTTACATAAATGATATTTGTTCTTTTGGAAGATTTATTCAATTCTTCAATCTATTCAAATAGAAAAACCGAACTCAAGATTCGAACTTCTGTTTTCAATTATCCATGTCATCAATTCTTTTGTTTTCTTCTCTATTTGTCCTTCTTAATCTAACGTTATCAGAGAACCTACTCAATGCATAGCACATGCTCTTTTCTTTTTTTTTATTTATCGGTCTACTAACATCACCAGGTCTCTAAATCGCACAACAACAAGAACAAGCTTTTTCCTCTTTTTCTCTTCTCTCCCTTCCTCTCCCTCTTTCTTCATCTTACTATTGTACCGATTCCACACTATGCCATTTTTGCTTGTTTCTTTTTTTTTTGTTCTTCTCACCATCACCATCACCACACTATCAACATCAGTTTACACAGAATAAAGCATTCGTTTCTTTGCCGATTTCTTCCTTTTTTGATTTTCATTCACGAATAATACGAATCACCTGCTAGTATTTCATTTTACTTTCTTTTTTAACAAGCACTCAGTACAGACGAACAGACCCAACATATCAATGAACTATCTCTTCTCCTCTACGTCATGCCGAGTCATAGAACAATGACAAGAACGAAAATTTGATGTCAACAACAGTCTACTATCGTACCTTTACTTTTCTATTCTTCTTCCTACATTTGTGGTCGACTTTGCCAGCAAACATAAATAAAACATGGTAACTTCTATGAATATTCATTGAATGATAGCGACTTTTTTCTGGTAATTTTAGCGTCTACGCGATTTGTTCCGTGGACCGTCAAATACTGATCGAAAATCAACTCTATCGCTTGTTCCAAATTTAGATGCAAATACGTTCGTGAATGCTGCTCAAGAGAAAGATACCGACTCATTGCACAAGTATTTGCTGACAGGTTCGTAGCGCATGATGAATAACATTATGTTTGTTATAAACATCCAAATTGGTTAAAGAGCAACGAGATCATGTTTCAGGTTTCCCGCCAGACCAACCAGATCCTTCCACAAAAGCAACAGCTTTACATGTTGCGGTTGAATCAGCTAATCTACGCGCTATTCAAATGTTACTTCAAGCCGGTGCACAAATCAATGTAACTGATATAAGTTCATCAACGCCACTTCATATTGCAGCTTACATGGGCTATGAAGAAGTGAGGTTAATTATTCGCTTGAGAAAGAACAGAAAAATAATATGATTATCGCTAGATACATAGGTTGTACAGATACTTCTATCACACGGTGCTGATATGTTTAAACACGATAATACAGGTCGAAACGCATTTCATCTGGCTGTATCAACAGGAAATCTTCGGTTAGTTCAACATTTTCTAACCACACAAGATCCCGAACAGACAATTCTGCACAAACCCGATGCGTAAGTTCGATCGAATTGAACTTGTCTACATCGAATGTTTTCTTTCAGTCAAAATTGGACACCGCTGATGTGCGCCTGTGCTAGCAATCAACCAGCAATATGCGCATTTCTTCTCTCTCATCATGTGGACCTCTGTGCAATCAATGATCGACATATGACAGCATTACACATTGCTGCCTTTCTCGGTTCATTGCCAGTTCTTCAAGAACTTCTCACATCATCTAATGATGACAACATATTGAAAGCACTTAATCAAGGTGATCATCGAAATCAAACTCCATTATTTTATGCTTGCATCGAAGGCCATCTCGATATTGCATTAGTACTAATTCGTGCTGGTGCAAATGCTTATCATTTAGATAATGAAGATCAAACATGTTTACATGCTATGCTATCATCAACAATCGTATTAAAACGACATATATGTTTATTTTATCGTTTTATACAATTTGTTGATTATCGTGAGCATCAGGATTACCTCGGACGAACTTTACTAGATTTGGCTTATTTGAATCAATTGAACACGATCATCTGTCTATTGAATATGTTGAATTACAAAACGAATGCCAATGTTGTTTTCATTAGTGAACAGATGGAAAATCGTCTGTGTTGTCATGATAATCAAGTTCTTTCTCTACGCCAGCTTTGCATTCTTCGTTTTAAAAATTCGGTAGTTTATCATCGAAATCAACGACAACCTACGCAGCATGATTTACTCGAGAAAAGCTTACAGGAAATCTTTCAGATAAATTCAACAATCGATTTACCCAATTTGCAAGAAACAAACTCAATCGAACTTCCTGTCGGTAAATCTTTAGATGACATTTCACTTCTTCAGCAGCAACAATCAACTAAATATCCGAAGAATTCAAAAACGATCAAAAATCCCGAGAAAAAAATGAGAAAAACATCAACGATCTTTTCAACAACATCATCATCGACGAACAAATGGGCGTCACAAGTTGATTTGCAACATTCACCCTCAACATGGTCAGTGCTAACACATAAATTCAAAGGCCAACGAACACTTCCGCCATTAATCAATCCAAATCAGGCACTAGCAGAACAACCAGCAGATCCATTACAATCGTTGCCCACACATCGGATGAGGAGTTTAGCTTTGAAAATGTTAACATCGCCAATGAAACTAGATGAGCTACTGGATTTTCCTTCGTTGAATAGCAGTCAGTTTCTGGATGACGATTTACGACTGTCGATGAAAACTTATAAATTATTAGATATAAACGCATCGAATTAAATCTGTACGTTCCTTATGATTTCTATTTGATTGTAAAGATATATTCAATTATATTTTTATTTTTTGCTTAATTTCGACTCACAATAAAGCGTAAAATCAATGAACGAACTCGACACGATACTTAATGAACCCTCACTCGGCCAAGATAATAAGTACTTGATAATCGCTATAACATGTCGTTGCCAATTTTCATTAATTCTTTCACATTTACAAACTTAATCATCACCTGCCATGTAGTTTACCTGGAAAACTTATTTCTACACACAAGTGTCAATGAAAGCATCGAATCCTTTTATTTCGACATAACGTGTAAACAAGTATCTTTACTTATTGACTCTAGAAATACACGTTGAACTACTTGTTGCACACAAAATAAGGTGCACATAGCTTGTCATTTTTCAGTTCATCGTATGTTTCACATGGACCTTGAATCGCATTAAGTAGGATTCTTTTGTTGTGCAACAGGTATTATCATGATATGCATATATATATATATAAAGGGTGTGTGTCCTATGTGATATGATGAAAAAGAACTTTTCAAGGATTTATCGCTTCATTATTGTTTTACTAATGTAGTATGTTAAACATGAAATATATTGTGCAGAGCAATCAGGCGATGTTGCTAGTATAATAAAAAAAGCTCATCAAAATGCGTTTTATTATATCCTATAGTCCACTTTACAAAAAATAAAGGAACATACATGATAGAACATATGATCATGCGTAAATATCATGTTTCACGCAAGAAAAACGTCTTTCTCTTTCTTTCCTCGTTCATTGTATAGTTTAGAAACATTAGTGGAAGCGAACTCAACTGTTAGAATATCAAGGTGGGATCAACCTGATCTTATTTCGGTACCTTTGAATTGAATACAAATGACACAAGTATTCCTGAATAACGATTTATTTTCCTATATGAATATGTCTACATCGGTGTCAGCAACGTGGCATAATGCTACAGGTATATTCGCTTCTTTATGCTTGATATGCGGCGCAATATCGAATGCTTTAGTTATCTATGTCTTTCTCAGGTAAAACACGCATTGAACATTGAGTTTTCTAATATGAAATAGTCTCTTGTGCATTTTTGTCTGAATAGAAGTTCAAGCTTACGACAACCGAGAAACTTCCTTCTTATCAATCTTGCTGTGACTGATCTGGGACTACTTCTGACAACTAATATTTTGCATGCCATCGCATCGTTTAATAAGCAATGGCCATTTGGAAAGATAGGTAAATGAGTACTTCTGGTAGTGAATTTGCTATAATATCATTCTGCATGTATCTTAAAGTTTTTTAGTAAAAAAAGTTGAAATTGTTGTGGATAACGGTTTAGCGTGACTTATTATTTTTCTATACATAGGTTGTGACTTCTATGCATTCTCCGGTGGTCTTTGCGCTTTCACATCGATTGCAACAATGGCAGCAATCGCTCTCACTCGACTCGTCGCTGTCATCCGACCGTTCAGTTCATTGAAATTAACTACAAATGTCACATTAAGTATGTGTTTTTAACTTACACTGAACCTCACGATGTTTGTGTCTGATATTAATAGAATGTATTGGATGTTGCTGGCTGTATGGTTTGATCTTGATGGTCGCGCCTTTCTTTGGATGGAGTCGGTTCGTGTTTGAAGGGATTGGCACGAGTTGTACATTTGATTATGTGTCGAAAGATGTGTGGAATCGATCGTTTATGTTGATATTAATAGTTGTTGGATTTTTGCTTCCATTGACAATCATTATTGTGTCATATGCATATATCGTGCTGCAACTGTCGAAGCGTAATGAACACATCATGTGTCGAACTTACCGAAAGCAAAAGTTACGATTACAATTCAATATTCGTCCGACGGCATATTATATGATGAACAATTGTTCATTATTTGATGAAGTGTCTCGAAATAGTTCAGTTATTCCCTTGTCAATGAGTGGCCATCAGATAGTTCGAGTGAGTGCTTACACCGAAGCCCGTGTCGTTCGTACTGCATTATTGATCTGTACTACTTATTGTATGGCTTGGACACCTTACGCAATACTCACCGTTTTATCTCAATTTGGTTTTGATCATTTGATAAATGCTCACATAACAACTATGCTTGGTTTGTTCACGAAAACAGCAGCCTGTGTGAATCCTTTCATATATGCACTTTCGTCCTCAGTATTTCGACGTCATCTCTTTCAGCAATCAGAATCTCCACGGTATCATGTTTCATTATCCGAAAATAGTTCGAATAGACGAAATCTACTCGTTAAAGTGAACGAATAATTAACTAGTCAATTTCTGTCAAATTATTGAAATCCAACGTCACCAGGGTGAAGTCGTGATTCTTTGCTTCTCGACAATCAACATCGCGCAGATGTCGCCCACGAGCAGAGACATTCCGTGACATATGTGAACTTTGAATACGCATTTTCGAATAATTATCACAAAATTTTTCATCAGAAAAATGGCTTTTTTACAATATAAATCAATAAAATTCATAACTAGTTCGATGTGACTGTGACTGGTCGAAATTTTTAAATACGATTTCACTGATTTTGTCCCACCGAACCGAAGATAGTGTTCTGTTTTTTCTTTGATTTGCAAACATGCTTTCATAAAAATCTTCTATATCTGTTGTCAACTATGTCGGTGTCCATCGGTGCATTTCGTTGGCTTGATATTCTTGAAAAAGAATTCGACAAAGCGTTTGTTGATATTGATTTACTACTCGGAGATATCGATCAAGATCAATCGGAAATTACCGATGAAGGTCGTACAAAAATGACTGTCCTCAGTTCATGTTTTGCTCAATTAGCTCACAAAGCTCAAACGATCTCCCAAGCAAATGCGAAATTAGAAGTATGTACGCATCGAGGATCGTAATGAGTTTCTTAATTAAATTCCATTAGGCACAATTGATCGATGTTCGAACTGAAGTTGTGGAGTCCAAAGCAGAACGGCAAGCGCTCGAACAGCAAGTGAAAGATATCATGGCACAATTACATGCCTCACAATTAGAATGTCAAGTTTTGAAAAACCAAGGCGAAATTGAAGGTGCTGAGACGATTCTGAAGAAACTGGTTTGTGTTCTCTATCTGGATAGAATTGATTCGACAATGATTGTCTTATTTAGGAAGAACAAATCACAAAACAGCGTGAGGAATTCAAACAGAATGCTATTCCGGAGATCAAAGTACAAGAAATTGAAAAAGAAAATGAAAAATTAAAAGCGCAAATCATTAACCTTCAATCGGAGGTCTATGGGTCACGTTTAGCTGCCAAATATCTCGATAAAGAATTAGCCGGAAGGTACGAATATTTTTAGATTGTGATAAGTTTTTGACTCTCATTTTATCTCGTCTCGCTCGCTTCACCCTACGCATGTGCATATATTTATAACTTTGTTCCGACAGAATTCCATGTTTTACATATTCAATTAGAAGTAGAATGTCATGTTAATCTATGATGAGTGAAATACTTCGAGTTTCTCAATTATATAGAAGAATTGTAGAATAAACCCTTTTGTTTTGTGCTTATTTCAAATAGGATTCAGCAAATTCAATTACTTGGTCGTGATTTGCGTGGAGCTGATCATGAAAACCTTTGGAATCAACTGGAAGCTGAAATTCATCTGCATCGGCATAAAACTGTTATACGCGCGTGTCGTGGACGAGAAAAAGTCAATAAAAACCTCACGAGCCCTCCCGGACATGTAATATTCTTCCATTTGTAACTTTCGATTGATTCATTTGACTTTTTTTTCGAAACAGGATTTTAATACTTTAAAAAAACGACAAGGTGTAGGAGAAGTTCGTACTGTCAAACTTTATAAAGATGCTAAAGAAGCATTAGGCATATCAATTACAGGCGGAAAAGAACATGGCTTACCTATTCTTATATCAGAAATCCATGAAGATGGTCCGGCATGGCGGTGTGGACAACTCTATGTTGGTGATTCGATCTTAGCTGTTAACAAACAAGATTTACGCGATACCAAACATCGAGATGCTGTTCAAATCTTATCAGCTGTTGTATGTATATCAAGCATCGATAATCTAGTCTTCGAATCATTTTTTTTGTTAACTAGAAAGGAGATATTATATTAACTGTGGTTTTTGTTGCACCTGATGATAGTGATGACGAGGATTTACAGAACTGTGATGTTGATAATCATCTGAAATATAAATTTCTAACTGAAGAAATCGAACATCAACGTCGAATGGAACCAAACCATTCGTCATCAAGTGACATCGAAACGATCCATCGAATCAAAGATATGTCGTCATCAAACGGCAATGAAAGAAAACATGTCTTAGAACAGATCGATAGAGCGGATACAATTAGTATTGATAGTACTCAAAGGTAATTTATCATTTCTTGATTTCATATTGATTTGTTAACTTGAAACTTTGTCTAGAGATAGGCCATCTGTAATTGATCGATATCTCAAACAAACACGACAATATTTACCAGTTAAACGAACGGACTCGAAAGAGTAAAGGCAGTTTTCTTTTAGGTATTAAATGAGGAACATTGATCTCATTTGGTTCTCTTTTATTTATTGTTATTGTATTTATCCTATTCATACAAATATAATTTTAACCGGGAGAAATCCGAGAAACAAAGCATGCAAAAGATTCCTTGACAAACACTTAGATTCATAATACACATATCCAGACCTGTTCGAACAAACAATGCGTGGGTTATTAAAAATATAATCACAAGATCAAGTCCAAAGAGACGCAAATAATCTTCAGATTTGTTTAAACATTTAGTCATAGACACTTCCTTGCAGTGCTATTATCCACAAGGATAGATTCATCTATATCAACCGAAGGATATATCGATGATTACGACTAACTTCAGTGCATATGCAAACGACACGCAATAACGCATCGACATGGCTGTTGTGAAATCAAACAAATGGTGCAAATTGCTGTTCTCTTTCTCTCTGCCAACACCTGTATGAGTTATTAGGATGACATCCAGGTGCGTGAAAACCTAGATCTGTCAAATCATACGGAGAAAAATCGTGTTTTAAGTATTTCGAGATATGAACTCAGAAATAGATAATTTCTTATTTCAATTAGAGTATAATTTCTCGAAGAAAATCATTAGTCTTCTACGCACTGAAACCATTTTTCGTCTTGATTGTTATTTTGAATTTCATGCTCAAATATGATCAAGACAGATTGTTTTCTCCGAGTATATTTATTCATTACGAAGTTTTCTTATTTGTCGAGATTCTTTCTTTGCTTATTTTGGATGTTTTTAGCGATGAATAACATATTGATATATAGAGCAAACGTGCCAGTTAAGATTGTTGTTGATCATCTAGAAAAAAACCTACTCGTGTTAATATGTGTAGATAGTCAATAGAAAACGAGTACCTAACATGAGTTTCACATTAAAGCTTTATCAAATTGTTTGCTCGATTAGCAAATAGAAGAGAGAAAACATTCGTTTCTTCTCTGCCTATGCATTCGTCAGGTAAAGTATGAAGATCTTCGCTTTCTATGATCTAAAACTATTCTCGAGAAAGTAAATAAATGTCTCTATTAAGTTACTGATTCGCCTGAAATTAATCTGTAGGAAATAGCTATCAATTAACAAGTTTTTTTTTTAGCTTCTTGCCAATCATTTCGTGCAATACACATCTATGTATATTGTTTTTCTCGACAGATAACAAATGGACACAGATTAAGAAGAAAGAAAAAACAAGCGGGAATAATCGATATTAGATTAATACGTTTTCGTCTCTCATCGAGTTTATTCTGTAATATATTTATGATTAATGGTGATGATCGTCAGAGACAAAATAAAAATGTCTTATTTTCTTGCCTTTTGGCAATAAACCAGCAACAATGGTATTTTTTTAAGCTTCTCCTTATGTCTCATTGCATTCCATCATCTGATAAGAACGTGTATGTCAATGTGCTAAAGTATCACACTATATCATGCTTTTTCTTCTTTTCTCCTCTTTTCTTCATTTGAATAGCTATGGAATCGTTTTCAAGGGAATTTCGATTCTTGATAAGGCTTCTCTTGGAAGACTTTCGCTTTATAATCATCGTTTCTCCTTCTTTTTATGACTTGTATCCAATATAAGCACATGCGTAGTCAAATCTACCTGCAATTAAAACGATGCATCCGTATGATGCGAATGTCTTCTTGAAAATGATAAATGTCATCACTATTGCTGACAACAGTTGGTTGGCTGCAAACACAGCGAGGGATTTGATTTATGTTTGCTTTTTTTTCTCCATAGGGAGAAAAAACAATGAGAGTCAAAGTAGAATCATCTCTTCGCAGAGTAAATACAAGGCAAAGCAATAGTATAAATCATTGATGCCAAAACATTCGTCGTACTGATGAGAGTAATCAGTTAGAAAAAGATTCCAGTTTAGTCAGCTAGTTTGAATTTAAATACAGCGGAACTTTCACATTTTATCGTCCAACAAACAGTGCCATTTTAATACTTTCTTTTGTATACGATTCGTTGGTCGAGAATGAGATTAGATTAGATCATCACACAGAACATGTTCGCATCCTAAACACTCATCCCCGTAAAATACAGAAGACGAACATCGCACGTTACTATTCACAATAGCATCGAAATATTCGAGCGAGGCAGAACAAGGATGAAAAATGAGACCGATGTACACGTGTATGACGGTACATGTTTCTTTGATGAATTCGAGTGGAATTGACATCGAACACGCGGATATCGTTTTCAATTACTTGAAGGTCACAATAAATTTTATGACTCTAAGCGATGATTCTCTGATTTCTTGAGATCGAAGAAGAAAATCAAAATAACTTCATATTTATATCTCTATTCATTACATTACGAATAAAAGACACACTTCTCTTCATCATTATTTCGTTTTTATATTTTAGAAGGGAAATAATCACACCGCCTCGTATTGTACTCGAACACCTACTAATATGATCTATACAGAATAGCGTATTATGCATCAGCGAACTGAAAGCATTCAACCGAGAAAGCAAATACCTTCGTTAGATGCGCAACTTTCAATTCAAAGACGACGACGAAAGGAATCATTGCGACGCACATGGACTCATGGTTTACCATCATTAGCCACGAACACTGTTAAAATGTTCGTTGCCACTTTGCAAATAAATAACCAAATGGCTCATGAAGCGCCGCTAGAAAACTACCATCGAATCAACGAATTCGAGCAAAATAGTTTAGATAGTGATGACGACGATATATACAATATTGGACAAGAAGTTCAAGCACACATTCCAGATATTGTTCTGAACAATTTAAATGATTTGATTGACCGCAAGGGTAACGTCAGAATACCGAATGAACATACATATGATAATTCCACATTATTATTTCTCGATGTGTCGGGTTTTACTTCTTTAACTGAACAATATTCCAATGATGCACATTTAGGTATTGATCAACTGACGCGAACATTGAATTCATATTTTGATAAACTTGTCTATGAAATTTTGACACACGATGGTGATATTTACAAGTTCGCAGGTGATGCGATACTTGCCATGTGGACCAACGAACGTACAGGTCCTCAACAAGCTCTCAAATGTGCCATACATTTACAACAAACTTGTGGTGCGTACGAGACTGATGTTGGCGTTATTTTACGCGTGAAAGTTGCGCTGGCTTACGGGCCAGTTCGTGCTCTATTTGTTGGCACAGAAGACTTCAAGCATTATCTTTTAACTGGTGATTGTATCAAAAATGTCAATGTATGTGAACAGTTATGTGAGCCAGGTGATGTGATAATAACGAAGTCAGTTTATGATAAAATTGATTCAACGTATTTCAATTGTGATTTTGTGCCTGTGAGCGAGGAAATTGATCCTAAACAAGAACATATCGCGGTGAAATATTCTCAATCCCGACGATCGACAATTGATGAGCAATCGCAGACCGAGGATCATAATAGTGTAGCAACGGTCATTCAAGAACGGATGGTATGTTTTGGTTCTGATAAAATGAATATTCATCAACGACTTGAAGAGCAATATAACTGAAGAGATAAGGTTTTTGAGTAAATATAGTAAAGCAAGGTTAATAATAGTTAAGATAAATGAGTAAAAAATGCAGATAAGAAATTAACTCGAGCGAAAGAACAAAATGAGTTATGACAGGAGGTCATAAATTATTTAACCAGTCGCAAAACATTTCTATCAGATATGAATGAAGATTTTCTCTTTCTAATCGCATAGGATAGTGCCAATCAAGAGATTACCAATGATGGAACGAGTAAACAATCATCTGAAAATGATCTATCGGATCAAGAACTTTATTCACGAGTCAATGCATTAATGAAATCGTTTATATTACATTGTGTTTATCAACGTATTGAACGTAAACAATCATTAGATTATCTATCGGAACTACGTCGTGTTACCATTTCATTTATAAATCTGGATATATCGAATGAACAGACTGTTCTCGATAATATCCATGAAAACATTCATAAAGTTTTCGTACAGATTTATGAATTAACTAAGATGATGGGCGGAGTTCTAACAAAAGCATTGTTATTCGACAAAGGTTGGTCGTTTCTGTGTGTGTTTGGTTTACCTGGGTACAAGCAAGGCGATGATACTGCGAATGCGTTGAAATCTGCTCAAATGATACACTCACAAATTCCTGAACAATGTCATTTTGTCGAGAAATGTTCCATTGGGGTAAGCAAACATCCCGAGAGTTTTCTCTATGAAATAGACACATCTTATTGTTAGATTAGGTGACAACGGGATTGACATATTGTGGGGTAGTCGGACATCGTGCTCGTTGCGAATATACAGTCATTGGTCGTAAAGTGAACATGGCTGCGCGTTTAATGTGTAATTATCCGAATGTGGTCTCGTGCGATCAAGAAACCTATTACAATTCACGATTACAAAGTCGATTCTTTCGAATACTGCCTGATAAATGTTTAAAGGTAAACTGAAAAGAAAGAAAATAAGACGCGAGAGACGTTTGTTTGTCTTTAGGGAATGAATAACGTTGGAGCTATTTGGCATTATAATGATGCACATGCTCTGCCTCAAGCAAATGAACAAACGAAATCCATCAATCATCAAATAAACGATGCTCGACATGAGGACCTTCCATTGCTAGGAAGAAGAGTCGAACTAATGATCGTGGCAACACAAATCATGTTACTCAATGAATCGGGAAATACTAAGAGCCGCCGAAGAGAACTTGCAGCAATCATATTTGAAGGTAAACACACAGAATTTCATCACAACATTTCTACAACTTTGAGATTTCGTATGTAGGGGAAGACAAAATAGGTCGTACTCGTTTATTACAATTCATAGCTGATTCACTGGAAAATTCTTCGAATGTCACTGACACTTCCTTGTCTTCGTTCTATAATAACACTTACACGCCGAATGATTCAACAATCAATAACAACGCTCATCGAATAATCAATCAACATTACGATAACCAAGATGGAACTGTTTCATCCTTGAAACAATACTCAAGTGATTGTTCCGTGACTAAACATCCGTCGATTCATGTGATTAACTGTCGTTGCCAATTCGAACAACGTTTTAATGAATTTAGTCTACTTCGATCGTTACTGAGCCAATTATTACAATTTCATAGCAGCGAAAAAACTCAACACGATCGAGAACAACATCTCTTACGTTTGTTTGATATCAACAAATCGCATGATTTACATATGAGACGGAATCTGTTCCTATTAAATGATCTATTCGATGTTCGGTTTCATCATAATCTAATTGAAGTCGAAGACGACCAAGATACAAACTTTGTGAAATGCTACGAAGCCAATATCAATGAATTACTGTTACATATCCTAAACAAACTCATCGATCAACCTAGTGCGATATCTGATTTATATTCGCCCAACTCCACGATAAACTCCATGAATTCACGGTAAATCTCTTCGTGAAATTTCCCTTTTTAATTCATTGTTCGTTTTGTTCTAGTCCACTTTACTTAAAATCTCGTGCTTCATCAAGTTCAGTAGGAAGTCTAACTTCGCAGATAACAATTCCAACATTTTCGAAGATCATATTCATCATTGATGATATTCACTTTGCTGATGAAAGTTCATTGAAACATTTGCTCACATTAGGTAGCCATCGTAAAAGTCTCTTAATTCTCTCGATGAAACCACCGAGGAATAATAATAACGACCGAACAAATTGTAATATTCTACAATCAATCACAACTGATTCACGTGTTTATCTTCGACGATTGCCTGGATTAGAATTGCGCCATTTAGCTACGCTTGGTAAGTGGAACTTCTGAAAATGCATTTCATCTGCTTGTTTGTTTGTTTGTTTAGGTTGCCAAATTTTATCTGTGCACCGTCTACCGGAAAAGCTTGTTAGAGTATTCAACGAAAGTTGCAATGGGATTCCGGGCTTTTGCGAACAAATCTTATACGATTTCTTGGGTAAAGATAAAATTTACATTACGGAGGGTACAAACGTTAAGGATCAAGGTGTCGATTTAGTCGAAGGTGATGCCGATAGACTTTGTGTCAATCATTCGCTAAGGCATAGTCTTGTTAAATCCATTTTTTCTCGTCGAAAAGGGATTGTTACTCCGGAGAGACGGAAAACAGAGCCGATCTTTTCTCGAGTTTGTTTACTACGAAATCTCACCGATGAAGATTTTAATGCTGATTGCCAACAAAATTTTCAAAACTACATCATGTGTCGCATCGATCGGTTATCCGAAGGTGAAATACTCCTTGTCAAAACAGCAGCAGTTATCGGCAATACATTTTCGCGAACATTTCTCTGGCATTTAGTTGACCCGCCATCGAAAGCACTAATCAACATAAATTCATGTATATTAGAAATGATGCAAAGGAATGTTATTGAATGTGCTCATTGTACCGAACAGTCGGTTAAGACACGTTCGATTAAATGTTATTGTTTACAGAATCCAGGTAATTTCCCGTCGCAATGTCGTCTTATGGCATTTACACATTCCACGGTACGAGAAGGCATTTATAATTCCTTAACGGATACATTGAAGCGTACGCTGACACGGAACGCGATTGATTATTTGGAAAAACAAGCGACTATTGTTTGTTCAGCATGTGGAAGGAGTAAAAACGAAAGTCCATTTCTTGTGTATGAACATACTGGCCTGGCAAAATTTATCAAAAATCGACAACAACCGGCATTTGCTGATATCGTGAAATCGGCTGCATTGAAAGAAATCGATGATATGATCAAGGAGATATCCAGACAAATCGAATCGTCCGAACGAGCACAATCTGGCCGACCGATGGAATCAATGTCAGTGCCAAATGCGAATTCCAGGTCTAATTGAGAAGTTCTCTTGATTTCCCTCGAAATTGTTTTCTCTTTCTATTGTATAGTGTTAATAATGAGAAAACAAAACGATGGTTTAGTATCGACGTGAATAACATTCAGTCAATACCATTAAAATCGCCGGTAGTTTTAGAACCAGTTAAGATTGACGAAGATTTTCCGAACGAAGTCATCGGCACACAAGTATTTGAACCGACAGATGAACAACAAAATGCAAACTTAACACTAATTAGTCTCTATTCACCGGACGCACCATCCAATATTCAATTTAAAGTGAAACGCACTACATCAACCACATCATCACAAGCGAGTCAATTGTTTTCGCTATTCAAACTACCCAATCGACATAGTACAGATGAGACGAAATCAACATCTGAAGTATTTAAGACAGTCCATGGCTCCTTGAAAGACGATCGTACGAATAAGACGGATAGCATCGTCGAAGCATCAAAGCAAAAGAGATCCGATCGGTCAAATCGATTTATTACATTCATTCGATATCTGTTTTGTCAGTTTACGCCAATTAGTTCGAATGTAACGATAGCACCATCAATCGACGACCAAGCAATGGATCATAACAATGATTTATCAGTCACTAAATCTGAAGAGACTCATTCTCAGGTGAGAAAAATCGCTCATAGAGAATCCAATATCTCAATTAAAACCTCTTTTTGTAGGAAAATGAGAATCGAAGCGATGATTATTTTTCTTACTGGAAGAAAGTTCGCAAAGCAATATTACCAACTATCAATAAAATTCATCGACCATTACCTTCCGAAGACGAATTACTCGCTCAGCCAATGTTTTCGTCTGACTTAACAGACAAAATCAATGCTAATCTAAGTCGTCTACATACTGAAGAACATTTAACCCGATCATTCGAAATTCTCTACGATCAATCTCTTTCATTCTATACCTTCCAATCCTTTACTCAATATAACAAGCTACTTCAACATGTCTATGAATCAAAACCGCAAATGGAAGAAGAACAGGATTTAAATGACTCTCTCAGTGAATCTACGGTATATAACGATCTACGTATATGTGAATGTATTGATTATGTCATGACGGTTTACCTGAAACTCGTGGAATATCATACAAATCTTTATGAAATCTATCATAAAGCATCGGACGACAAACGTGACTGTTCATATTGGAAACAATTCGATCGTATTATGTATTATCGGATAGAAATCTGTCGATTGTTATTGAACTGTAATTATTTACAACGCTTAATGGTTGAAGTTGAAAATGGGCGGCGATTTTTAGAAAAATTCCAAAGTGATACACAAAACACTGCAGATTTTACGTACGAATATCATTCGATCATTGTCAAACATACGTTCAATCTATTCGAAGCTGTAGTTCTACAACGCACAAAGGTTGTGAATGATTCCAAACAAATCTGTGATGACAATCTGAAAGAGTTGAACAAAGCTTATAAGGATAAAATTTGGGAAAAATTAATCTCAAACAATCAAGAAGAAGAATCATCATCCGCCACGGAAAAACGACATCAGTATGAACATAGTAAAGATAATCATTCAAAACACTCCCTTGATATCAATCAATCAACAACAATCGTAAGTTTTTTTTCCACCAAAACTCATGTTTCACTCGATCTTTTGAAAATCTTTAGAATTCCGATCAATTCATACTTTTCAAGGGCAAATATAATCTTGAATACCTCCTATGTCTATATAATCTTCTGGAGTATGAATTATCACACCGTCGATCAACAGAGTCAATTCACACATTGCTCGACTTACAATATCATATATTTCCATTATCATTTTCTCTTTCATGTACAATCATTCTTGTGGAATACTTCTATTCTCAAAATGACTATCAGCAATGTTTAACATTAATCGACCGAATCATTCAGTTCTGGTGGCCATTTATCACTCCGCAAGAAAAACTCGAATTTGCCAAATTGAAATCTTTGAAACTGATCGTTGAGTTAAAACACGGCTCGATCGATTCTGCGATTTCCTCGGGCTACTTTGCCAAACGTCTCCTAACGAATTATCACGAAAACACGTTCCTTTTCGAAACATGTACCTACTTAACATTAGCATCGATTGGCGAAATGCGCATGTCAAATATCGATTTGATTCTACAACATTTAGAATACTTAAGTGAACAAACAATGAATTGTTACGGAAAACTCTGGTATTATACATTAGTTATTGATGCGGCAATGGAACTTGGTTATGAAATAATACCGATAACAGCAGAGATTCTGCAGAACATCACAACTTATCGTCGGAAGCTATTTCCAGGCCCGAATGGAAGAAATCTTCTACTTTTCTATTGCGACTGTACGTTAGCACAAGTCTATGCTCGGTTAGGTCTGTTAAACCCATCGAAAGTGCATTTTCATCAAGCATTATTTCAAATCGAATACGATCATATGAACTTATCGAGTACAGATTTTCGTTTTCAACGTGCGCTATTAAAATTAATTGAAGTACAATTAATACATTGGTATTACACAAACGATACAGACGATAATTTCACAAAAGATAATTTCATATTGAACTACATAAATGAAAGCAATAATGAAGAATTTCTATCATGGAATAAAACGAGATATTTGATCTACCAAGCGTATTACGATCGATTAATCAATGATTACCGAAGACAAAACAAACTTTCCATAGATGTAAGTTAATTTTCGATCGAATAAACCAACAGATTCATTTGATTTTACTTTTTTTGAAGAATGATCTTCATTGGGAAAAAAGCTTACGCGAAGCAGAGAAAACTGCTGTTAAACTCGATTCACAATGGATTGATTGTTTGCGTCATGCATGGTCACATTCAGTTTCGGAACAAATTCCAATGAAATTGACACAAGTTTCATCGATTAAATCACTTCGTCGACCAACCGTAGTCGGAACAAAACAGTCAACTCGGCGTGTTGTTCGACCGACAGTAGTCCTCAATCGCATATCATCGAAGAATGAAATCAATGGAGACAGCACTGCCGATGAACAATCAGCAACCGTCGGTAGTTATTCTCATCAAGCATTTCTCAATTGGCGTTCATTTTCGAATAATACCACTAATAAGAATTCGCCATATTTCCAGCTCTACATACTTCCGGTGAAAGTGTAAATCTTTGAGACAGAACTGATGTTGTTGTTGTTGTTGTTTTATCTATTTTTGCCCTTTTGTTTTGTTCATGTATACATATTATGTATGGAAATCTACAATCGAATAAATCAATCATGTGTTTTGAATGTATCATGCTTGACAATGCTGAATCAGATCGGAGACTGATGGAGCTGTTCGAACGTTAAATAAATCTCGACATGGAGTACCGGCCTTGAGATTGGTTCAATCGATAACCAGTTTATTACGCAAGGATTGTTAGAAGTATCTGTTTTCTGTGTTGATGACAATCAGAACTTTGATAGAACAAGAAAATTTTCTTTTCCCCCACCATTTCCTTTTCGTTCTCATCCATGTTCTAACTTAATGAAATACATTGACTCGATTGCACTTTTTTCTTCTCTTTTCATTCAGATTTGATCGCAGTATTCGCCTTAATTTTCACCTTGAACATAAAAGAAGTATTTATATGTGTGTATATCATCTTATCGATCTTTTTCTCGCTCGATTGATCTCAATTGTTTTATAGCCGCGAGCGAAAACTCGATACAATAGACAACTTGTTCTCATTCACACGAACAATAATAAATTTTTCTTTTATTCAACAAAGAAAAACTTTCACGTCTTCACATAAACAAAAAAGGGTTATTGAAATCACTGCATAAACCGAAAAAAAGCCCATAGTTTCTCTCATATCTCACCAGATTTTTTCAATTGTAATTGAAGTAAATAGCAAACGATGTCCATATACCCAAGATAAACAGCGATGTGTAATGGCAACCAACCATCGGCATTGTACATCCAGATATCACATTCACCTACTTCCACAAACACTTTCAGCACATCGAGACGATTGTGAAGACAACAGAAATGAACGAGAGATTGACCATGATATGTGAGATAGTTGAGATTGAGTGTAGGTAGTTGACGGAGAAGTTTATGAATGTCGTAGATGTTGGCGTTAGACTGAATGAAATGAAAGAGTCGAGAGGTGAACTGATGATGATCAAGGATCATAACTAATGAAGGAGAGAAAGAGAGAAAATGAACATTCACATGATGTGAGAAGAGAGTGAACGAAAATTTTCTTTCTGTTCTTTCATTCGTGATGAGAATTTTCCTCCTTGAACAATTCAAGTCGGATATGAAAACATTAAGATATTTTTCACTCCATTAAAGTGAAAAAAATCAGGAACCAACATCGTTTGTGATAGATTGATTGAAAAAAAATCTGTCCGCTATGTCTTTTGGCATTTAATAACAATCGATTAGATGAATAATCAATATGTCTATTTGTAGCTTTACACATACGGCAACTTCAAGCTGTTTGTTTGACAATTATTCTTTTGACTCGTGTTCGTTCTCTGACAAAATTATAGTAACATCGACGAGTTATGTTTCAGAGATAATTGCTTGCTTTGTATATCGAGTTCTTTTTGTGTAGACAGACACAAACTTGCTTATTCTTTTGCCGAAGAAAAGACTATCGGAATGTGTGCGTGTGTATATTAGTTGCAATAGCTTTAAGGCATATTCATGCTTATTTCGAAGAAATGATCATTCAGATGTTTATGCCTCTTATCTAACTGATTGCATGAGAAAACAGAAAATGAGTAAGTGCATGTGTCTTACTTAAAATAATGTGTAAGCATGTATATCTAAGCTCGAAGAAGAGAAAACTTCGTTCCTTTCTTTCTTGTGCTTGAATGCACTCTAAGACGATTATTTAAGCGGAACTGATGATTTTAACTAACACATGTGGAAGCATATTTTATGTAGTTGGAACGAGTTAATCTGCGGATATTTACTTCCTCTCTTTCTTTATTGTAATTAATCTGTTCTCGGAGCAAGAGACGAAGGAAAAGTCGGATAATGATACAAGTTTTCCTCTCGATTCGGTTACAATTGTCAATGACGAGTTGAGATGAAAGGCGAAGACAGGCACATTTATTTGATGTTCATTTCGGTGTTCTGTTTACTAATCAATCCATCATAAGTAGGAAAAGAGAAGTTGCGCAGCGAGGTTTGTTTGATGTTTTGTAAGAATAAAAATAATAATGATGAATAGAGTATGAGCAGGAATGGCAGTTCAATGCAACTATCGATTACAAACAAACGAGAATTCTCTTCCTTTTTAAAACAAACAATTCATAAACAGCGAGAGTTGTTCGTGTGAGAAAAGAAAAAATCAGTAGTCTTTCACATACTCATAAGTCAGATTTCTTTCTGATTTTCATCTAAGAAACGCTGAAGAGTTGACTAAGATAGTCAAGATTAACAAAAGTGCATGTGGGTCAGTTTGTCGAGTAATTTTCTGACTAGTTATATTATTCTTTACATATACAATCACTCGGGAAATCAGTAAACTCATAAAAATATCCATTCCAATAGATAAGTAGTATTTCACTATCTTTCTCTCCTTCTTTTTTGCGCTTGTTTCTTCATGCATCACCATAGACTGAGAGAAGAAGAAGAAGAGGAAGAAAATGGGCGGAGAACGAAGAATTCAATAATCTAATCAACTAGTCTATGGCTTGACATTACTCCTATCTAAACAACAAACAGATATATACAAAGAAGAAGGAGAAGAAGAGCAAGACAAAAGACAGACTGACTAATTTGATTTGAGAGTTTTCTTATTCTAATCTCGTGTTGGATTTTCTTCTTTCTTTTTGACTTCAAGTGATGAATAGGTAAGAGAAGGTTTAAAATATCCGAAGGAAAACTCATAATGAACGTTAGCAAGACCATAGACACACGAGCAATAAAAATCTGAATTAAATAAAGAGAACGTTTATTCTTTCCCATTAACGAGATAGAACTACAGCGTACAATAACGTTATGTAATCAATCGAAGAAGTGGAGATTAGAAAAAGTGACTTTTCTTGATTTACTTTCATATATATATATTTATGCTTTAGAGAAATAATCATTCTAGAGATGATTTCTCTTCTAAATAATAGCAAGTTATTGTTATTCTTTCAAATATTCTCTCATATCCAATCAACAATAATCTACCAGAATGATTATGAACCGCGTGTGTTTGATCATATTCCATCGAATTGTTACGATTGTTTATCCTATCGTGATATTATTTTAACTCAATTAACGGATGTTTCGGCGCGATCATTTGCGAATTTTCATTTAGGTTCGCGAGATACGTACATGATCTTGAATGGTCAAGTGAAATTAACATTACATCCGTTCGCCTTTCAGTCGCTGATCATCGATAAGCCCAATAAGACTTTAACGATCACATTCGCAGCACCGAATTCTTGGTTGAATATCACAGAAAACACGTTCAATGGCCTTGAACTTTATTCCTATTCGACATTACGAATTATTATCAAATTCTTTTACGGAGTTACTTTCCATAAGAACTCACTTTCTGGTATTAAAATGGGTAAACATTCACGTTTGATTGTTGACATATCCTCCATTACCGAGATTAACTTTGAAAAGCATATTATTAAAGAAGATGACTTCAATTCATCCATTGACTTTCTTTTTGCACGGACAGATACCATTTTCTTTGATTCCTATTCGTTTTCACACCTGAACATACAATCGAATCAAATCATCTCGTTTCAATTCGAATTAATTTCACATATCTATGTGAAATCTTACGCATTTCAGTCGTTACAATTACAATCAGCAAGTTCATTTCGTTTCTATTCGATCTTTTTGAATCGCTTGCATCTTGAATCGTACGCATTCGATTCGATGCTGTTAAACTCTCACTCCATCTTCAATTTCACTATTCGAACTTTGGGAACTTGCTTATGTTTCGAATCGTACTCATTCAACAATCTACAAACGAAATTCGCCAGTGAAAACATTCTTATTCTATTTCATTTTCATACTCTTCGTGGTTTATCTTTCTTTTCTAATACATTTCACAATCTTTCATTACATAATACTCAGAATCAATTACGAATCCTTTCGATTAATCCATTTAATGATGTTAATCCAATGATAAATTTTGCCAAAGAGACATTTTCAAGCGCAACGCTCGGTTCAATTCTTCTGAATTTCTCGGAAATCACCGCCGTGCGTTTCGAAAGGCAATCACTACGAACAGATCTGTTCACTCATGATATTTATCTCAAAGGTATTTCATTAGTAGATCTTTCGACATTAAACGCGAATTTCATGCAGAAAAGGTGTCATTTTTCTTTCGATAACATTCGCTATGTTAAATGGTACGAAAAGGACAAGAATGTCAAGTGAGTTCACGAATCATTGGCATGTCTCTTCATGTCTCTTTGTCTTTAGTCATCAGATTCAATATCATTTTAAGTATCTGGCGAACTCGTCGTGCCTTATTTATTCAGCTTCACGTTCGATCCCTTGGAGATTTTCCATTTCGAATTTCACAACTTGTAATTGTCCACTTCTCTATGCGTTTCAACATGGTCAAGTTGATGAACAACTCATTCCATGTCGACATCAGACAGATGAATTGATCAAGCAATGTGATTTTAATCGAATTAGAATGGAATGTCAGACAGCAATCGAAGCTTTGACGAATTTGAATGCAACGAATGATACGTCAACAGTTGCACATCACTCGAACGAATTCGATAATTCGCTAATTCGACAATTATATGACAGAAATTACCTTTCGTGTTCATTTAATTACTCGTCATTACCATCGACGAGCCTTGTTCGATTGGGCTTATTGAATAATTTTAGTTTAGTGCTCGGTATCATTTTCGGCATCTTCATTCTATTGCTCGTCATTGTGATGGGTTTGTTAAATGGTTTACAATATAAGATGCGAGAATATGATGAAACATGGACATGGAGACGAAATATGTCATGGACAACATTACGACGAACCATATCGCAAACATCGCTAAGACGTTCACGAAGAGACTTGCGTACAATAAATAATCAAGGTGTAACATCGAGATCGGATAATCAATTAGATCGACTAAGATACGACCAACAGGATGCTGATGAACAGGAAATAACTTATGATTTCAAACAATCGCAGTCTATTCAAGAAGGCTTAAAACGAAAGAATCTTATGTTTTAATTGTGATATTTTGTTTTGTTGTTTCATTTGTAGCAAATATATATATATAATTAGTTGAATATGCATATTCAATTCAGCGCAGATGAATAGAATGGATTACACCATAACAAATGTGCTCTACTAGTCATTAGACATACAGCTGCTCTCATTTTGATCTCATTTTCTCTCGTTCTCACCTACAAAATCATTTCATTCGTTCACTCTTTCCTCTATATAAACATACCACACTTTTCTCTCTCTTCTATTCCATTTCGTTTGCTTCAAAAATGATCCTTGATCATCATCAGTTCACCTCTCGACTCTTTCATTTCATTCAGTCTAACGCCAACATCTACGACATTCACAAACTTCTCCGTCAACTACCTACACTCAATCTCAACTATCTCACATATCATGGTCAATCTCTCGTTCATTTCTGTTGTCTTCACAATCGTCTCGATGTGCTGAAAGTGTTTGTGGAAGTAGGTGAATGTGATATCTGGATGTACAATGCCGATGGTTGGTTGCCATTACACATCGCTGTTTATCTTGGGTATATGGACATCGTTTGCTATTTACTTCGGTGCATGAAAATAAATCAAGTTTGAATCCGATGTGGAAAGCTCGCGACAATACAGTGATGACAAATCAAACTCAAATTTTCATTCTTGTCAGCAGTCACGCATCGTTAATCAATAAACAATTGTGCAGGAACTAGGATGAAATTGGAATCGACAGTTTGCGCATCTCGAACGTTGTGTAATGCCATTATAACTGACATATACATATTTTAATAAATTGCGCATAAGGCGCCATGATTACTGTCACTCTACTTGAACTTCTTGTTGTTATTCAATGCGACTACTAATCATATTTAGATAATCTCCATCAACCAAATGAGACATGTTATTTAGTTTTCAAGTGGCCTGTTAGCTGCTCGTTAAAATATATCCTAACGTTGAGAAGCGTGTCATACTCATTAGTTTACTTACACTTAAATTAAGTGAATATTGAACATGCAAACTATTCATGGTTCAGATGGCGGTGAAGTTATTCTCTAAGGATCGTCTGTACTCAAGCTACTAGTACACCAAATATTGGAACACATATCATCATCTATGAACATATCTTATTACGTTCATTTCCATCCTTTGAAGTACTATTCGAATTCTGAAGTGATGATTGAATGCTGTTCATGTACTCAGAAGCGAATACATTTCGCGTCTACAGCTTAATTAAAAATACGATGAGGTTTTTGTGTATGATTGTCATCCCTGTCGCTTGCATTTACTCTATAAAACTGAAGAAAAACACGCAGGGATCAAGAAGTTCACTGATAAAAACGCTTTTAACGTCTGTGCATTCTCTATCAGTGTCGAATAGTCTACGAACAGATTTCTCCTATTACGAAGTGCTGTGAGTCACTTTTCTTCCATGAGGATTGAGAAGAAAATAACCTTGACTATATCATGTGTGAGAAAATAAAATAGACGTGATGGAAAATGTTGCTGTTTTCTTTGAGTAGAAAAAACGGGAAGAACAATTTCAGTAGGGTTTCTTTTGTTGAGTATGACAACTGATAGAGAATCAAACTAAACAAGTGAAATCAAAGGAATGAAAGAGAATGATGAGATAATATTATCTATATATATTTATCTAAGTTACCTTTGACCAAGGACGTTTTCGAAAGATATTCAATGACATATTTTGACAGTGAGATGGATTCTTTAAACGGAGACCCCGCAAAAGTAACCTTGCATGTAAGTGTATTCGCCCGTTCGATTAGTAACATCTTTTTCTTAACGTACTATTGATAGGCAGATCCAATTGATGTCAATACGAGTTTATCATCTCTGGCCGCAGCGCCAATCTCTTTAGACAGTATCTTGAAAAAATGTGGTGATCTTAATCGATTTCATGTAATACATTATTTCTTCATTAATCTCATTTCGATGAGTAGTGCTGTTGTTGGCTTTTACTATGTTTTCGGTGCAGCTGAACCTGAGCATCGATGTCGCTTACCAGCCTCCGTTTGGCCTGACGATACACAATACTACCCAATTAACCGAACGCATGAAACAATGATTAACGCGTACATCCCCAAAACAAAAGATGGAACAGCGTGGGAGAAATGTGTACGATATGCTTCTGCGAATCCGAACGATACACTAATCAGTTGTCCGAATGGTTGGGCTTACGATCGATCAATATTCGGATATACATTCACCGAAGAGGCTAATCTTGTTTGTAGTCGTGAACCGTTGAAGAGTTGGTTGGCAACGCTAATGCAGTGTGGTGGATTTTCATTGTTACTTATCGGTTTGTTTGCGGATAAATTCGGTCGAAAAAAAATAACTGCACTTGTAACTATTTTACTGTTTATAACATGTGTTATTACACAAGTTATCATGCAATGGGTGCCAATGACAATCAATACGAAGTAAATAGATTTTCTGTAGTTGAAAAAGACTTCAATCTCTTCCAGGTTTGGTCTTTTATTACTTAATCAATTTGCATCTGGTCTTACTGCATCTACGTTCAGTCTGATATTTATTCTAATGCTTGAATTGACCTCATCTGCACATACAAGTCTTGCCGGAAATGTTACACTTGTTTCCTTCACAATTGGAGAAACCATTCTAACTCTATTCGCTTATTTAGCAAAAGATTGGCAAATACTCAAATGGGCTAACACATGCTTTATTGGCTTAGTTCTACCTTATCTCTATTTCATGCCTGAATCACCGTTGTATTTGTATTCCAAACGGCAATACAATCAACTTGAAGCACTTTTACGGCGAATTGCTCAAACCAATCAACGAAAAGAGATCGATTGGTATCCACACTACCAAGAATTTATACGAAATCAGCCATTAACTCTTTCATACGGAGATAAAGTGCCTTTCTGTCGGAAAATTCATCTGACACTTGCCAATCGATCAATCATTACTAAATTATTAACGATTGCTTTGCTTGGCTTTACATCGCTCATGCTCTACATCAAAATCAGTTATGGATTAGCTGTAATGAAAATTTCTCCATATCTAGGCATCTTGATCGGTGCTGTTGTAGAAGCTGCTGGATACATTACAGGTAATGTGCTGATATCAACGAGATTAGCTCGTAAAGGTTCATTTGTTCTAATGATGACTCTCACAATTGTTTGTGTCATTCTCATTCCAATCGTAATGAAACATAGTCCAGCTGCAACTGTGTTCATCGCTCAATTTGGCAAATATTCGATATCAGGTGCAATAGCTGTGTCCTGGATATTTGTTCCCGAGCTATTTCCTACTTCGATTCGAAGTGGCGCAAACGGATTTTTTATTGCTTTCAGTCGAATAGGTGCTATCGTTGCACCAATCATCAATACATCGATAAGTGCGGAATATCAACCATATACATCGTATGCATCGGCTGGATTAGCTGTGATAGTTGTTTTATTAACTTTATTATTACCTGAAACAAAAGATAAACCAATGGATGATGTCGCCGATTACGAAATCAATCGAAGTGATGCTTAATTCTTTCGGATTTTTTTTTTCATACATAAACGTTTTCACACACGCACAATAAAAGAAGGAACAAAGCACGCATACATAAACACGCACACACTTGTTGGCAAGAAAACAAATCCAGTAATACACTACATCCAATTGTTTAGATGTAGTCAAGGAAAAAAAAGACGAAATGAGAGAGAAAGAAAATATAACGTACATAAACAAAGATATGATCTGACTAAAAGAACGCAAAACACGCACACCGAGATCCGATTCACAGTTCTTATTTCTTTCAGATAAATAGTAATAAGGCATTCTTTTTCAAAATATATACCGAGGAGATACTAACGAGCGCACGAGGATATTTTCTATTTTGTTCGAAGACACACACGCTTATATATATATATATATAATATATTATTCTTGTCTTTCTTCTGCTTTATCAGGGTTAATCACTGTCGATGTTTCGAAAAAAGAAAAAAAAAACTGAGAAAAAGACGAAAACGGAAAAGGAAACATCTATATACAATAAAATACGAAAGATAACAGTTTTTTTCATTCACTTGCTTCAATCAAGATTTTGATTTGCTTTTTATGTTCGCCGGTGGTGTACCTGTGTTTCTTATACGACGATGATCATTTCGATGAGCACGATACGCTCGTTCACTCGTAAATGTCTTTAAAACAAAAGAAAATTCAATCGCATATTGAGTGACAACAACTCTATCGTTCTCAATTACTTGTAAACAATCGTCGATATCACAGGAGAATACGGTTATTGTTGAATTATCACTTATGATTGTTGCGTTGTCATCGTCCTAAAGTGAGCAACATCCGTTTTGCCACGATGAACATTTCATTTTCAGAGAAACTTACCATACGGAATTCATTACATGATGGGGATGAAGATATATCATCATCGTATATTTGCTTCTGCGAATGCAGTTGTTTCGCTTTAATCATCTGTAATCGTTTTCGTTTTGTAGCGAGAGAGTTCGTACTGGTTTCTCGATTCGTAAAATGTACTTTAGGCATATAATGAAATTCAATACATTGTTTCACCGTTTTTGTTCCAACCTGAAATGCAAATAGCGAAGGTTCGATTTCATGTCAGTGGTTCTGAAAAAGAAAACTTACAGCTCGACTAATAGCTAAGAAATTCTTCTCGGAACTGTCCATTGCTTTTGTAAACGCATTGATTTCTTCTTGTGTCCATGTGTCACATTCAGGAAAATGATAGCGATGTAATGGTCGACACTGTTTGATATCTGAGGCTGTACCATCGAGTAAGGCAGATAGCGTACGTTGAAGATCACCTTTATATTCATGTAACAGCATGTAGACTAATTCAATTGGATATAATGTTGGTGAATGACGCGGAGAAAATAATAGAGGATTTGTTCGACTTAATTGTTCATATTTGTCGAGTGCAGTCTCGTCGAGAGAGTCAAGTCCCGATGGAGAAAATAATAATTCATCATGTTCGACTGAATTATCGTCGAGATTCGTTCGAAGTTTAGGAATAACAGCTTGATATTTTTCGCCAATGTTGATCTTTGGTCCTGATATTTCATCGGGTACGGGCGTAAAGGGTAAACTAGGTGTTGGTACAGTTATTGTTTGTTGTGTTGCAGCTGGCGTTGTCTGGGAAAAAACTTGATAATAAAGGCCTGGACCTTTTCGAAACGGACTGAGCATGGGCGGGGGTGTGTACGGAGTTGTTGGAAGTGGGTTTGATGTTTGACTGGCAATATTTAAACTTTGTTGCCGGCGAAATTGAGAAACTTGCGATGGCCATTGAAATGAGCTATTGTTTGAATTTGCGGTTGATTGCTCAGATACTTGTGCTGGAATGGTAGGTGGAAGATTTTCATAATTAAAATGTGTCGTGTCGGATGACGCCGATGATGAACTAACTGTTGTTGTTGTTGTTGACGACGAAGATGGTGTACCAATAAGAAAACCAGATGCTGATTTTATCGTTGTTGCTGTTGCTATTGCAGCTGTATCAGGTATTGGACTATCGATAACAGGAATAACCTTTAATGATGAATTATCCGAAGAAGTCTCGGCGTTTGTTTGTGATTTATTGTCTTGATCAGTATTTTGCTCAGGTGTAGGTGAAAAATCTTGTCCCACTTGATTATGCTGTTGTTCATCTTGAGCTTCCTGTTTAAGCGCATTCAATATACGTTTTTTCAATGCTGCATGAGATAAAACCGAATTTGTTAGTGGTGACGGTTGCATACTATTTGATGCTGGATTATTATTGCACATATCTGTAGATGATGCTGGAGAACAATGACTAGTATTTAGGTTTGAATAGGGTGATGTCACCGGTGTATTTATAACTGATGCTGTTGGATTAGGTACTAATGATAACAAAAGAAAAAAACGAAGTTAGTAAGTAGGAAATCGATTAGGATTTGTTTACTTCTATCAGCCGGCGAATGAACAATGTGCGGTGATGGAGAATGATATAGATGTGTTGCATACGGACTTGTTGATGGTGTATAGCGCATAGAATCATCTATGTTTGCATGATGTTGGCTGAGATGATCGTTTCGCGATATGTAAAATTCTTTGTTCAACATATCGTTTGTATGACGCAAGATTTGATGAAAAATATTTGGAGCTAATGTAGTAGGGGCATGCGGCGAGACTGGAAATTGGGAAAATGTTGTTGGATGATGCTGAGTGGACATTGATCGACCATATAGATAAGATTGAGGATGTTTAGCCGATGAATATTCATTAATCTAAATTTAGTTTGAATAAATGTTTGATTATATATAATCTTGATTTAAAACAGCAAAGAAAATAATTAGGAAAATCTCTGATCTTGCTTATCGAAATATCATTCAGATGCTTTTTCAAATTCAATTCGTTGATCTGATACAAAATGTCATCTGGATGACCTTTTGGGTTAGAGAGTCATCAACATTTCTATTGATCAAGTCTGCGATTGTTCTCAACAGATATTTGTCATTTCGAGAAGAAGAATGATAATTACCTGTCTGTCTTGATGATAATATTTTAATGTTTCGTCAACCGAGAGAGTTTTTTTAATTTTGTCCTCATAGTTCGGCATTGTTCCAACATTTGAGAACATTTGTGCATTTGTTAGTTGATCAAAGCGTAGGATTCCAGCTGGAATATTCAACGAATGATTACTATTATGATTGTTCATATTGATTCGGCTATGGAGCGCATCATCGTTCATACGCAAATCAAAGCCATACGGATGATTATTGTTTCTATCGTAAACTTGTGATGGTAGTGGAATTTGTTTCCGATTTTGCTTCGAAATGTTCGGCACAGGTTGGACACTCATAGGATTTTTAATGGTCGGATGCGACAATGAATTCGTTTGAGTTTGAATGACAGATGACGAAATTGAACGCGTTCGGGATGACAATGTTCGATCATAGAAACGTTGTTGTAAGACGTCGGAACACGGTGGCAAGGTTGGATACATGGATTGTTGGTAAGAATGAAGATTGCTTTGATGAGCTGGATTTGATGATGGCGACATAAGCATATAATCATCTTCTTCGCTTTTAATTGGCATTGAACGTTGAAGAATAGGTCGCTGAGGCGAATCGTTAGATGAGACAGGCGAGTTGGGCCGTTTACGTTTTATTTGTCGACGATCGTTCGGTCCCGGAGGTGTGATACGCTTCTTCTTTTGCACATTATCAGTTGAGGATGGTGATGGTTGTTTCTAAACGCGAATAGACAAGTAAACAAATCATAAAAGACTCGATCTATTCAAGACTTTACATCATTGAATCCACCATGCAAACGCATATGACCATTGAGTGCTGCGCCATTTTTAAAACTCTTTTTACATATGTGACATTCAACACATTTCTCTTCATCAAATCTAAACGCACCAATACAATAGCTTTTGTTTCAATCCTCAAGCAATTGTTCGACATACGTATAAGTTGGAACTAATTTATGTCCATTCGATGATCGAAGTTGATTTACATGATACCCTTGATCATTGTCGATTGATGATGATCGAGGTGAATTGCTATCAACTGAATCGATGGAAAAATCACTACTCAAATCTTTGGTTTTGACAAAGGCAGTTTCCGGGAGAAATCTTCGGTATTCATCATGTCCACCTTCATGAATAGCAGCAAGTATATTTTGATGTGCATTTTCAATGTGCCGTTTCAATGATCGTGCATCACAATACGTTCGATTACAATCTGGTACACGACATTTGTGCGGCTTTTCTTCTTCATGGGTCAACATATGACCATGTCTGGAAAAGAAAAAAGAAAATTTCTTTCAAACATACAGATTTTCAACTTAAACAAAACTAAAATTCATGATAAACTTCGAACGGTTAGTGTTAATCACGGCATCAGTCTGACATTGTTTATACTAACTAACGATAGTAAATATACTGTGAGAGAATGAGATAAACATTGATTTAGCGTAAATGAGAACTCTTCTAATGATGAAATTTTCAATTCGCGATGCAAGGAAGAAAATAACTTACAGATGATCAAGTCTTTTGAAACCTTTATTACATTTGACGCATTTGTGTCTTCGGTCTTGGCAATGTGTCAGTTTATGTTTGGCCAATGCACTTTTATTCGCAAATACCTTGAATAAAAGGGAAACATATTTCTGTTTTTCTCATCATTGTTTCATCTTACTTTTGCACAATCTGGATGAGAACAAACATGACGGTTGCCTTGTTGTTGAGGTGACATCGAAGACATGTTGCTTTGAGATTTGTTATTCGTAGAACTTAACGGTGACGGTTTTCTATCTGCAGATAATGGTGATGAGGAAGATAATCGGCTTTTGTTTTCTACAACAGAAGCGCATGAGAGAAAAGTTCTTCGAAAGTACCATGGCATTGATGATAAGTTACCTCCTGAAGCTTTGAACATCTGACTGAGACTTCTTGAGGATGTATTTTGACTGTTACTATTAGTCGAACTATGATTACTATTATCATCTTGGCTTAACCCATTTGTTGACATTGTATTTGTTCGTTCATCTATGTTAATCATAAGTGAATTGACTATTTTTTCCTGATTATCTTCTTTAGTTTCATTATTGAGATGACGTTTTAAGTCGCTTTGCTCAAGACCGTTAGTATCAAAAGTGAAAAACGATGTTCTTGCTGTTGCAGACGATGGTATTTGCACACTTGAATTACTCGTTAGTTCGAAACCTGCACTGTGAATAGGACTGAAGTTTTTACGAAAGGAATTTGCCACCGTCAGTTGATTATCTGGATGATCATTCGATGCAAGTGGATTCGGTGGAGTTGTTAAGATGTGTGAGGTACCTCGAAGATATAAATGTGGCGACGGAGAGACAGTACTCGGTCGAGATTCAGTTAGAGGTGTCGTTGAAGTATTCTTATGTTCATCGACGGATTTGTTTTGTTGATCATCGAGTAAGTCGTGAGCATTCGAGTCGACATCAGCTAGAAATAGTAGAAAAAGAAAACTGTTAAATGTATGTTTTTTCTTAATTATTTGATTTGTAAATTGTAAAAGTAGCGAAAAGGGAGAAAAAAAAGGAGACTGTGTTTTCCCCCTTTTACAATAACAAATAAATAGCGAGGTGAAGGACAGATTGTGAAGATGAGAGCGAAAATATTCAAAGTAATATGACAAAAACGTATATGCGTAAATAGACCTATGCATGGGTGGTTTCGAACGAATCATACACGTCTAGCGTGCATATATATATATATTTATCTCTTGGTGCTAGACCATGTCTGTATGTACATGTATGTAGACACGGTCGTTTTCAATACCCTCGAGAAATAAGATGAATAGAAATGAAATGAAAGTGCAAGGTATCTCGAACTTTTTTTAATATGTACCTCCTAAACTAATAAATAGATCGTTAGTCTAGATTGTTTGCACTTCAAGTCTTATTCATGCTTTATCCATTGATTATAAAATAAACAGAGCTGGATTCATCACTAACAGATGTTAAATTATCCTTTTTTGGCTGTACATACCAACAAGAGCATCAATTGAAGCTGATGGATCTTCATCATCATCGATAGGCATTGATGTAACAACATTCCCTCCTTCATTAATTCGTTTAACCATTAATGGACTGAGAACTGGATTAGACCATTGTTGTTGTTGTTCTTGCATCTGTACAGCAAGTAAACGATTATTATGTGTTGGTGTAGAAGGTTGACTAGTGTTGGCTGTGGATGAGGATGAGACTGCAGCTGTTCGATGATTTAATGGCGAGAGATGACCGTTCGTAGTTACATTAGCCTTAACATGAAATGAAATATTGGTTGTTTTGAAATTTTATAAATAGATGTCTGCTTACCTGCAGTGTCAATTGATTGTATGCTGGTGGTGTTGAACTATTTGCTGAGCCAAGATTTTGCGCAGCTGGCGGAAAATGAAAATAGTGATGGTACTGATTTGATGACGCCTGCAATGGAAATGTATGAGGTGTATGCGGATGTTGAGAAAACGGATCGAGTAAATGCTGTTGTTGTTGTTGTTGCTGCTGTTGCTGCTGCTGCTGCTGATGGTGATGAGTTTGTTGAGGATATTGATGCAAATGATGTTGCTGTTGTTGATGATGAGGCGAAGATAGCTGAACATGCTGTTGTTGTTGCTGTGGTGGCTGATAATGAAATGTTGCTGTATGAGGGTGAGGTGGTAGAAGTAAAGATGACTGTTGGACATGGTGTGAATGATGATGACGATGATGTTGATTTGTATTAGTTGTTTGCTTCAGATGGCATATCGGTGCTGAATAGATTCCCGGATCATTTGCCTGTTGAGTACTGTTAACATCGAATACGGATAAATCAATGTTACTTGGTCGACTCGGTCGACGAAGTGTAGATATAGGTGGATAATGATATTGCTCAATATTGTTTGTTGTTATCGAGGAAGATGAGGACGTAGAAATCGAAGATGATGGTACTGTTGATGCATTTTGACCGGTTGTTGAATGCATGTTATAATAGATATATTGAAATGATTTGAGTTAAATGAAAAAATGGACTAGCAGATCACTGTTCGACGATGCATGTGAATACAAAATACAACAACAAACAAAAAACAAACAAAAAATATAAACAAAATCTGAAATGACAAAAGAAAGTGAAAGAAACTTCTTAGAAAATAATGTGAATTACTTTTTCTCGTTTTTATTTTTCTGCTTTTTCCTCCGCGTCTTTGTCGCCCGCGCCCTCCCTTTCTCCTTATTTCATGTCTATTAGTTTCCGTTTAGTCTTATTCTTTCACTAGTGCATACCTGTAAAAAGACTGACAGAATAAAAGAAATCTACGTGAGCCTCTACGCGCCTATGTGTATTTGTTAAAGAAACGTAGGAAGAGAAGCTCGGCTAAAAAAATAACAAATGTATGATTAAAGGAGAAACACACACATGAATGATAACGGCGAAATATTGCTTTACTACTATTTCTAACCAAATACACATGTTTGTTCATCGATCGTGGAAGAAAGACAATCTTTATCGGCACGCTAAACCGAAAGACAATATCACCCAGTACGAGGTGAACTTATTCGATTTGTTAGTAATGTTTAAAGAAGAACGATCTAATCGAGCCTGCCGATCGACAATCATTTGGATCAAGTACGAACACGAATAAGAAACGACCCAATTAGTTAACTAAATTTCCAAAAAAAAATGTGAGGTTTCTTAAATAAAATAATTCTCTTCTTTCTCTTACCAATCAAACGAGCTCTATCGATTTATTTAAATTAAAACGATTTACAACACTCAGGTATAATCCAGATTTTCATTCAAATAAAACATGAACATGAACTGAATCTATCTATGTATATAGGTGTCGCTTGATGAAAAATAAACTGAAAAGATTTTTCTCAGATATCTATAATTAAAATTGATTACATATCTGATAATTTCATGTTGATCTCTGGCGAGTGTTTGACTCCAGATGGCGGTAAATGATATTTCTTTCGATAAAATAGAAGTCAATTTACAAAATTGGTTATCTCAAATGAACGCTATCGAGATTGATTAACTTACATTCTTTTTCTTTGAAGCAACTAATTGGAAAAACGTGTGAGCTATATATACTCATTGTTTGAGATTATTAAAATAGAATAAATGAGCGGAAGGACAACGGTTTTTCTGCGAAGAGATAAAATTGTTGATAAATTGACGTTAAACAACGAACTTTGCACTGAATTTTGCGATTGAAAAACCAGATTATCGAATTCATTAGGTTGAATCTGTAAAAGTATAAATAAAACTGGCATACTCACATAATATTGTTAGTTTATTGTTAATCGACTAATCAATATACAAGGAAAAAAACTAAGAGGAAAACAAAAGCTCATTTTTCTCCGTTCTCATTTGTCTCATCCTTCAACAACACGGCTCTACTATTCTTTTGTTGCTACGAGTCCGCGTCATCTTAGTCGTGTTGTCTTCTCGATTCTTTTCTGCTATTTTCTTTTTTTTCTTCTTTTCTTCGTTTTTTTCTCTTCTTTCTCGCTCGATTTTTTTCTTCTTGTACTCGACTTCGCAACGCAAAGCGAAGTTGGCGGCAACACAACAACAGAGCGCCAGACCCTGCGCCAACAAAATACCAAAGTAATGATGACAAAAAGAAATAGCAAAGAAAATTGTCAACTCGCGATGAAATAGTAAAGAATGCTGCGCAGTCTAATTGCGAGATATGAGATAGAAAGAGAACAGAAATGAGCTTCTCATACGATGAATATCTCATACTCGAAATCCAAAATGATCTCACGTGTCTCGGAATTAGTCGAAGACATTCATATATGCGTGGGCGGTAAACCATGCAGGTGAATGAGAAAATGCCTTACCACAAAAGAATGTTTTCTAAATATTTAAATAACCATATTGCCGAGAAACAGATCTGCTTTGGCATATTTAGAAATAGCTGAATCAATATGTGATGAAGTATGCTGTACAGAGCGAAACGAATGAAAAAAAAAGAGGTGATTATCGACAAAACCAAATGATACACTTACTCATAGATACATGAAGGAGACAAATAAGGGAGATAGTTACGAAAAGTCGATTGAATCAATATTACAAAACAATTTGCGTCATGAAACCTGACAAACACTCGAATGTGTTTTTCTCTTTCTTCCGTTCTTGTCTGTCTCACCTTTATTGAGTCAGACAAGTATCATTATCAGAAATAGTATTTTTGATAACTGATCAGCAGCATATCTTCGTGTATCTAAATAAAAAAATCTATTTATATTAATTAAACTTTGATATACTTAATCATTAATCTCAATACAATATTAACTTATTATAGCATCCAGTTGCGGATTAGAATGGAGCTTTTGTTTACGGACTTTGCAAGAAGCAAAATAGATTTTACATTTTATATCATATCGAAATGACAAGAAGCATATTACACTAATTTTCTGCTTGGTTAGTTATGTAAACGAAATATTTTCCATGTGTTGACTATCATCGGCTAGATATATGGATCGATTTCTTTTTTTTTCTGACAAAGAACTCATTAAGAAAATGTAATATTCTCAATCTATTTATCCTTGTATGTTGGCAAACTCATACTGCACACATCTTCGAGCCCAGATGTGTGTAAAATGATCAGAACGATGGAAACTCACTCATTCATTGTCCTCAAAGCGAACTAATTGCTATATTCAATAGCCAATCGGCAAACCGATCAAATCATGAGACTAGATATTGTTTTTCATCGCGTGATATAAAAAGACAAACGTTCCGTATTCTACGACGTTCAACAATATGTGAACGACGAAGCACATGATTGATTACGTTCTTCAAATTGCACTCGACAATCGACAAAATTGTTTTTTTTTCTGACCACAATATCCACCTCCCACGTTGCTAATTCATCCTGCAGTATTTCCAAACATCTACTACTCGTCTTACACTTTTGATTTATAAACTAAGAATCATGTTCACATCTCGCTGCTACTCAGACAACTACACGAGTCTCATTCATATTTCAAGCAGACGAACATACTATTTATAGATCTAAAGGTACAACCTTATTCACTCGTGGGTTTTTATTTCAGTGTTATTATTGAATTGACTGACAATGAACGACGGATATGAACTAGCTTTAGGTGATAGAAGAACAACGAACGAAATTGCAATGATTGATTGAAATATATATACAACATAATTGTGTGTCAATGGACTCGAAACTATCTACTCAAGGATACTTATTCGATTTTTAAGGAATAATAACACACGATTGTCGAATGGAAACAACTGAAGGATTGTTTAAGACTTTGAGTTCAGATCGACAAACTCATTACGTTATCTTTATTTTTATCTTCGGTATAAAAAAAAAACAGGAAAACGATAGATACACACAAGAAACCAAAAGAGAAGCTACCTTAACCAAAACTTGTTTATGTTTTGGCTTCGACTGTTCAATCTAAACAACTTATAAAGCATTTACATATCTTAAGAAAAGATTAAGAGTTTTTTGAAAAACATCAAATAAAACCATCAATGTCAAAATACAAAAGAGAAAAACTGAAATGACGAGTTGGATTATCAGAAAAACAATAATTCAGGCAGATCTAGTCGAGTCTCGCATTTCCAAGAACAGATCTCATCGTTGAACGTAGGCAATGCAAGTACACAGGTTGAAAACCCTATTTAAATAAAAGACCAACACTCATGATCTATTAAATCGACTTCCTACTTACATTATTCCACACAACGTCAGCAAAATAATCGATATTTTCTCCAACCTCTACATATTCTCCTGAATATTTTGTATATAACCATACCGACACTAGAACAAAGCACAGCCAGAATACAAACATGAATAGAAGAGCAACGCGTCCCAGCCAAAAGGCATCGAGTAGACCAGCAATCATATAACACAAGATCATTGATAATATAAATGTTGTAGGTGTGCGACTGAATGCGAATACATTCTTCGAATCGTTATGTTTCTTGAAATTAACTAAAAACCCAAGAAAAAGTCCTCGATTTCATTGTATCCGATGATTATTTACCATAAAGTTCGAAGATTTCGTTGTCTAATTCTTGCTGGTAATTTTGCGACATCTGTTCGCCGCCCATTTTTCGCGCACAACGAAATTTTTCAAATGACTGTCGACGGACTTCTTGATGTAAAACATCTAATTGATTAGGATGTATGTACGGTCGATCACCTCCACAATGCTGAAGAAAATCCACGAAAATAGTTTCAGATGTTTCTCTCATGCTATTTCTATTTACTTGTTCCATTGCACGAATATAAAATTCTTTCGAAACAGCTTTCGCGGCTAAGTTATTTGCTTCTGCTGTTGCCTGAAATTATAAACAAATACTTTCGTAATTATTTACTCAGTCGAACGTGATGAAATGCGGTCTATTTATATGTGAGATATCTACTTACTTCAAGCATTGCTTTGGGCGATGGTAATTCACCTGAAGCGAACACTGCACAGTAGCTCTGCAATGAAGAAATTGAGAATATCTTTGATGTTCTGTTCATGTTTCATCTTACTCGAAAGTATTCGAATAATTGAGTGGATGTGATGAATTCGCCATTGATTTCTTTAACGAAATTGACATTGTCCGATCGGAAGAGTTCAGGTACGAAGGCGTTTAGTTGTGCTTTGAAATCTTTTTCGATATCTAAAGAATGCGAAGCGAAATTGAGAGGACATTTTGCATTGTGTACACATCGAACCTCCTAGTCTTCCATCGAAATCCCGCCGATTGGTGACTTTAAGACCAGGGTGTGGCATTAGAAAGCAATTTACTTTACGAAAACATTGTCGTAATCGAGAACGGACAAGTTCCAGATCGCGATGTTGATTTGCTCGAATCTAGTTTTCAAAATACAATCAATTATGTTCAGTTCGCTATCTACCTGTAAACGATCAGATAGAATATCTTCTCCACCCTCAAAACCATACGGTGTTTCATATTCAAATTGCCAATCACGTACAAGAAATGTTAATTGCTACAAAAATAAAACATATTTATCATTCAGTTTTTTTGCTCATCAAACCTGAAACGGTGATGTATGATACGCGTCAAGTGCTAAAACTCCATATTCAGCGAAAAATGATAGATGTTGCAAATTATCTTCTTGTAAATTATGCATTATGTTATACACAGTGACACTACTAACAAGTAATGTCAATGCAAATATGAAAGCATTCTCGAATACAGTCGAATTTGAATCAAATGTTCCCTGAGTGTCCATAAGCAGAACGGCAATCTATGAAGAAAAACGTTATCGGATGGTAAATATCACTATTGAAATTAATCTTACTTCTTCACCACTTGGCAATGACATTAGAAACGGTTCGCTCCACATAAGCATGCCTGTTGTATGACGACCAGCACCGCCACGCCAGTCGAATCCTTTCAATGGTTCGTTTTCTTTCCCCATCCATTCCTTATGATCCTAGAAGCACAAAACATCTTGATTGATATCGTTCGTCCTTCATTCGCATGCTCACTTTTGCTCTTAAATAACGAAGGAAAAAATCAAGCATGAACGATTTTCCTTTACGAAAATCGCCGGCGATTGACACGAGTGAGATCTAGTACGTTGATAAAAGATAAATAAGAAAACGATTGCATAGAATAGACAAATCTGATTTACTTTCTTTCCTTGGGCTCGTTTATGATACAAAATTTCTTTTAATTTCTTTTCATCGAGCACAAATTTATGATCATCAGTGATCGATACAATTTGCACAGGACCTGCTGTTGATGATCGTTCCATAAGAGGAAAAAATTTATCTTAAACCTGCAACGAACAAGTAATAAACACAAGAGCGGAGGTTTTGCTGAAGAAGCGAGTATTTAGAGTCAGCGTCGTATTATTAGGATAGGAAGGAAGGATAAAATAGAACCAGAGAATCTATTACGTCGCCATTGCAGAAATTTTGACGAACACACAGTGTGAGATATAGCGAAAGAGAGGGCGCTGGAGAACAGTGCCATAGGAAAAAAAGACGAGTATATCTCATGAGAGATTAATTGTTACCGCTGGATTTATTTATCAGAACGTTTATGCAGCATATGACACCATTTCTACATAATCTTTTCTTCTTCATGATACTACGTATGTATTTTATTAAAACATCTCTGTTTGACAAGAATCACTAGAATAGTAACAAAGACCAATGTTTTAGTAAGACTTCTGTATTGATTTTTATTAGGAAGGTGATTTAAATGATCATTCAACGAAAACTTTTCATTGAATTCCAAAGTAGGCTTTCAATCGGTAGCACTAATTGAATGTTTGAGATGGCTGTTCCACGTACTGGACATCTGTGGTTCAAAAAAAGCCAATGGTACTCTTGACAAGCTCATTTCGTGACGAAATATCCAATTATAACCGTTTTGTCACCATAAGAAAGGTTTGTCCATAGTAACAGAACTGTATTGTATTTACAGAACAGACGTTACTTATTGAAAAGTAAACGTTCGTTTGGACAAAAAAGAAACCGAAGAAAGAATTAACATGACTCAAACAAAGGATAAACTAGGCAAGTTAATCGCATTGAAAGATCTATTTAGACATGCATTTGGAACATTTAGCGAGAACCATTCACGATATCGTTCGCGAGAACAATGTAAAAGATCTCGAATTGATTGTCGGTCGTGGTGCAAGTGTGAATGACATCGACATACAAAATGATGATAAATTCACGCCATTACATTGGGCTTCTCATGCAGGAAGTCTAGAAGTGTGTAAATTTCTTTCCATGTTCTAATTAATAATATGAAGTTTTTGAAAAGTGCATGCATTGGCTTCTATGGCAATCAGCAAATATGGATGCACCAACGCCGAAAGGTTGGACACCTGCTCATATTGCTGCTATTCGAGGACATGATGCATGTGTACAGGTAAGAGATGTTAGACTGAAATCGAATTTCTTAATCGCGAGTTTCTCTAGGCATTAATTAATAATAATGTGAATATAAATACACGTGATCGTCGTAATCAAACTTGTTTACATATGGCTTGTTCGCATGGAAACTCTTTTGTTGTTCATACTCTACTACGTGGAGGAGCAGTAAGTTTTCTTTAATCTAAATTTGGTACTTTGAACATCTGCTTCGAAATCAAGGATTTGAATTATCAAGATGTCAATGGATGGACACCTGTTTTCACTGCTGCATATCATGGAAGACTTGGATGTTTACAGATGCTCGTTAAATGGGGTGCTAAGTTAAGTGATGTTGACAACGAAGGAAATACGCCTGGTATAAAACATGATTTTCAATTCATTTGATGACATTAGACGTCGTGTTGTTCTTCTAGCACATCTTGCGGCTATGGAAGGTCATTTGCCGTGCTTGAAATTTATTATTTCAGTAACACGAGATATACCTGCTTTACTCGGTGCTCGAAATGATCAAGGTGATACACCCAAGTCATTAGCTGAACAATTTTTCAAAGAAAGCTGCTGTAAATATTTGGACGCACTCGAATGGGAGCAGGATCATCCTGAACAAGCTGAAAGTAAAAGAAAACTTCGCTCGCCAAAGCCCAAAACAAACATTTTGGTAACGATTGCTTTTTAGATTTAGCTTTTCCGGCTCACGTTGCTGCATACAACGGAGATTTGGAACATGTCAAGTTGTTGATTGAACAAGGCGTTGTCAATATAAACGAGCGCGATGAACATGGTGCAACATTAGCACATAAGGCAGCAGGCCAAGGTCATTTAGAAATTCTTCAATGGTTGATTGAGAACGGTGCAACGATTGATTTAACATCTGAGAGTGGCGAAACACCTAAAGACGTAGCACGACGTTACGGTCAACTCGCTTGTTTGAAGATCTTAGGCGGAGGAGCTGAAAAAGGTGATGGGACTCAACATGGTCATGCAAATGATTCGAAACGATCAAGTGAACATAAGAGATTAACACCGAAAGAAGAAGAACGTCGTCGTGCTAAAACCAAACTTGATGATCTACTCAAGCAAATCGATATTGCGAAGAAGAATTTTCGACAATTAGGTGGACATCTGGACGAAGATGAACAACGTGAAGCATTGGAAAAAGAAACCCACAAGTATGAACAATTATATTTCGTATTCATCAATCAGATGCGAATCTTTCGTCTATTGTAGGAAATTTCATGACTATGATAGACAATTAGAATATGTCCGAGTCGAAAGAGAAAAGCTTCAAGCCGAGCTAGATGAATGTCGAAAGGAAATTATTCATTTAACTAATATCTTACGTTCATATGAAGATAGAACTGTCTATGTTCAAGTAAGTTTGGCAAAATTAATTCGCGGAAAATAGACGGTTACTGTTGATTGTTTGTTTTAGCAAAGACCACCTAGTAGAACACGTTCGCACAAAACGAAGAAAACATCGTCGGTCGTGAATAAACCAAGACGTGTTGAAAAACAAACAGGAGTTGTATTTGTACGTAGAAATTCATTGAATTCGTGATATTTTTTGTATCGAAAAACAAATATCATTAATTTCTTTTTTACTTAATAAATCTGCAAACATGTTGCGGTGTTTTTAGTAGATTCACTTCATCGAAACGATTCGAAAATGAACCCTAATCTAGCGTTTCATTATCTCGTCTGATTTCAATCTTTGCCTTTCTTATGTTCATTTAGTATTGTTCGAAGATTCGGAAATTGTTCATTAACAAACATTCGTCTATCGTTCATTAGAAGTCGATTGATATCATTAGTATTCACATTCGTTTGTCCAATATGGTGCAAAACAGTTTGGATTTGCTCATTATTGAAATGATTGTAGAACGAAAGTAGATGAATGACACGTGATAAACTATTCGACTCGATGTCATTCAAATATGTCTGAAATTGTGCTTTTATTGCTTGGAATTGTTCGTTATGAGCATTGGCGGTTGTTGTATATTCATCTGAAAGTGTTGGAACATCTTCGTAGTCGTCGTTATTTGATGGAACATCAGGAAAAGACAAGCTTTGAAAGGTATTGAATAAACTGGGAGATGTTTTCTCGAATGGTATAGATTGATGAGGAGATGGTATAGGAATCGTATGCGAATGTTCTATTGGAAGAAAATTCATGTAATTTTTGTGTGAAAACAGATATTCATCGAACTTTTAGGCGAAGAATTCTCTTTACTTGCCGACTGGACTTTAGTTTTTCTATACGCTTCTCTTTGATGAATGTGATTGCAGGGGATACTAGTTATTGTTGTATATGTTGTTTCATTCACCGATTTATTCATTGTAAATAGTAATAATTTTGCAAAGAAATGGCAGGGAGACTGTCAAGGCGCTCAAGAATGAGTTGTCATCATGACTGGCAATGTTGCATGTGAGAAAATGGCTTCCTCACTACGACAGAAAAGAAAAAAGTCTTACGTACCATAATGATGACGATGCAATCTGTTCCTAGTATATATATATGTGCGTGAGAGAAGAATGTTAGTTAGTTTTTAAAGTTTATCTTCGTATTTCGCACTGTAGAAAAAGTAAAAAGATGACAAGTAATCCAAAGCATTTGAAAGCAGGTAGGTCACTATGAATTCTTTAATGTTTATGAAAGGAAATACATCTGTGTAGATTCGGAATGTCCACCCTTGAAAGAAAATCAGTTACGATTATACTCAATGCGCTTTTGTCCATTCGTCCGGCGAGCTAAACTTGTTCTGGCTGCCAAAAATATTGAGTAAGAATTCGTTGTGCTAAAATTTCTTTGATTTCTGATCGTGGAATTTATTTTAGTTTCGAAGAAGTACGTATTAATCTCGGAGATCAACCTGATTGGTATTTGAAAAAGAATCCAGCTGGTGAAGTTCCATTGTTAGAATGGATCGATAAGGATTCAAAAGAAATACGTTCAATTCCCGAATCATTGGTGATTTGTGATTACCTGGACGAATTATATCCACAAAATCGTCTTCACCCAACTGATCCGTATCTTAAAGCACGACACCAAATACTCACTAGTCGTTTTTCCAACGTTCGTATAGATTTTCAATTGCTCATTCTCATGACATGATTGTTTAATGTTGATTAGGTATATTCAGAGTTTTACAAAGTATTCGGAGAATCCAATGCCAAGAATATCGAAGAATTGAATCAGAGCCTCTCTGTTTATGAACAACTACTTCAAAACAAATTCTTCGGTGGAACAAAACCCGCAATGATAGATTATATGATTTGGCCATGGTTCGAACTGATGTCCAATTTGACTGGTTATGTCCTTAACGCTGATGGAAAATTACCGAAATTAGCAGCTTGGGTCAAAGTCATGGATGCAGATGAAGCCGTTCGAAAGCATCGAGTACCTGATGAAACCATCAAGAAATTTATTGCTAGTCGACGAGCAGGCAAACCAGATTTTGACGTTGAATAGATTGTTTTAAGACGTTCAATTTTAAGAGATTTTCATTTACAATAAAATGTATACTAAACACGAATGATCGAAAATCGATAATGTCTATATTCATGCGCATAGGGTTTATTCTAAGAAATAATATGCGCAAATATCCGAGACATTTATCTGAACCGTGAAACGTATTCATACGAAAATACAATCACTTCATGTTAGTTTTTTATACAAAAACCCGTACTATTCATAGATTGAAGATTAGTCATTGATGTTTCTTCACCCATTGTTCAAATGCTTCTCTACATAGAAGAAATAGATGCGTCCATAGATGAAAATCATCTCCTACTTGCAAACAATTGACAGACATTGTGAACTACAATACTCTCCATCCCATTCCGGATGATCAATCGATGGATTCTCACATCCGACACGTTTACATTTCGTTCTCGAAGATGTTGTGGCATCAGGCACGTTTGACAACGACTACAGAGGATCAAATAGGGAAAAATAGCATGAAATTTATCTAACGATATGATCATGAACAGATCATTACCGATGACGATGACAAAAGTGCATCTGGCTTATTTGTATCTGTTGGGTACTCAACCGAAGCCATAAATATCTGAAATAAAATGACGTTTCTGTCTAGAATTCCAAATTAATAATTTATTGAATAGTTTTGTTCTATAATAAACACAGAGCGAGAGAAAAATGAAGAATGTACGGTGTGCCACTGTGTGGTTAGACTTGTTATTTAGTTCCAACGAAAATGATTTTCATTACAAATCGTGACCATTGACAAATGTTCGTCATTTTTCCGTTCATGTAGATTGGGATGACCATGATTCGTGTAGTCATAGTGTTTTTCAATTTGCCCATTAGCCATCGATGTTAAATCTACGTATTGTGGTGTGTTATTATTTAAATTATGTAAAAGATTTTCATTAGTTTTGATGTGTTCATTGTCCATCGATGTTTGATGAGAATAATATGATGAATAATGCTCAGAATCAATGACTGGTCGAAGTAAACCGTATTGATTGTAATCAGGATAGTTGTTATTCGAATCATAGGCTGAATAAGATTGATGCACATGATTAGGAAAATAATTCTGATGATCTGAATGGTAAACATTGGTATTATCTTGAGAATATGGATTTACATAGTGAAAATTTGTATTAAATGATGAACTTTGATGTTGGATAGATGGCACTGATGATGATGATGATGATGGCGTCGAACAATATTGTTGGAAAGTAGGTTGTTGTTGTTGTTGCTGATGTTGATTGTTGTTACTCATCATAGATGCTGTATGATATGGTTTTTGATGATGTGTGATTGCATGTGAAGAGAACGGTAAAGATGTTTGATTGAGGAAATGAGGTAGGTTTGGTGTCTAAAGTTGAAGCATGATTCGAAATGTTTTTTAGATAAACAAAATCATTCGTACTTGATGAGCAACTTGAACTGCACGGTATGCGGCTAATTGTTTTAGATATTCTTTTTTCGCTGTGGCTGCTCTACGTTTATATTCCTATAAAGAAGACTTTGTCAATGAAAGTGTTTGTTCATAGTACATACTTCTTTGATTTCTGGCTCGATATTTTCCCACATGTGTGCGACAACTTTCGAAATTTCTCTGAAAAAGAATGAACAATTGCTTAAGCTCGTTTTCAAATTAGATTTCAATATTACCCAAATGATGGATTAGCTAATCTCTTTTTAATATCATTCTGCGCATCACGAAAGAACAGTGCATATGGTGATACTGGTCTAAGAACGATCGAAAAATGTATTACAGATTAGAGAAGTTTCAAAATTACTTTTGAGGCTCATTTGGATCCTTGCGTTTCTTCTTTGTTGGTTTCTTCTTTTTTGTTATCTTACTCCCGGTCGTATTATTCTAAAAACACAAAACAGACGAGTCTTTTCACGTGAATCTAAATTCTCTTTCCCGAATACATACTACACGATTGATTGTGCTTGACGGTATTGGCGATGCTTCATCAACATCACTCGTTGACGATTGTTGCGGAGAAATAGATTGATTCTCCTGTCGATATGAATGATGTGATTGTAGAGAATGCTGATGATAATGAGTCAATTGACTATAGACTTCTACAGAGATACACTTTGATTACTCAAAACTCGTGCAATTCAACTTACCTGTATTATTTCCATAGATATGTTGCATTTTGAATCAATGAACTTGCTTTCAATCTTACACGAGTGACAACTATCGAGTCGAATGTCTTTTCTGATGAACAATCTAGATATGTCAAACGAAGA